AATCATCCTGCCCCAGTCTCTCAAGTATAAGGGCCATAACACCTTGTGGGGGGGGGGGGCAGGGGTATCGCTGCATCCTCCAGCAGTTTAAAGAAATGCCCTTCTGAACTAGATTGTTTGAGTTTAAATTTTGTCAGAGCTGGATTCCTAATACCCATGTAGAAAGGCTCACAACCTCAAGTAACTCCAGCTTCAGGGGATCTGGCTTAAATGGACACTTGGAACTATGTACACACGTGCATGCACTCGCGCGCGCGCGCGCGCGCGCACACACACACACACACACACACCACAATTAAAAATAATCTTTACAAGAAATAACTCCTTTAGAACATCATCAGTAGGCAAAGACGTTTCACAGTGTAAAGCTTTGTATAGCTTGGCAATAGATGTTTCTAAACTCTATGTAATTATTTTTTTAACGTGGAAAGGACTTTGGAGATACAATCACTCATCCATAATAAAAATACTTTTTCAACCTCTTAAATAAAATAGTTTGAAATGTTACAAAGGCCAGGAAAAGGCCTCTGGGGCACATGACTTGCATTTAAGAGAGGTCCTGCACTTAGTTTAAGGCCCCTCTCCTGCTGACTTAAAGTTCTTAGCAAGTTCTGGAAGGAGGCTCCACATTTTCAGTTCTCATTGATCCCTACAGATTATGTAGGTAATTCTGGGTAAAATGGTTTTAACTATTAAGCCTTCATTTTAAGTGGTCTTTTATTACATTTAAAGCCTAGGTGATATAAGAGATAACTTGAACAAAAAACTAAGTTCTTCATCGAAAGTATGTGGAGAAAGTGCATCTGTTTCCAAGTATCCAGGCAAGAATAGAACATGCAGCCTCTTCAACCACCAGCACAACACTGGTTACCTCATATAATAGAGGGAGCTGCTTATAAGACATGGATGGTGATGGGGGACACGTGCACGCACACATGAGGGGTGGCTCAGCAGTTAGGAGCAGCGCCTGCTTCCAGAGGGCCCTATTTCGATTCCCAGCATCCCTATGGTGGCCACAGTATTCTGTAATTCATTACAGTGCCCTCTTCTGGTTTCCACAGGTCCCAGGCATGCATGGGGTGCATAGACAGACATGCAAGCAAAACAGCCACACATATAAAATAAACACACAAATAAATAAATAAACAAGAAAAAAGTGGGTCTCTACTGGGTATGGTGATGCACACCTTTAACCCCAGCACTCAGCTGAGGCAGGTGGATCTCTGTGTGTTGGAGGCTAGCCTGAAGGTCTGCATAGTGAGTTCCAAGTCAGCCAGTGACACAAAGTGAGTCCATGTCTCAAAAGGAAAAAACAAAACATGGGTCTCCATCTTGGTTGAATAGTAAGTCTATCTTTAGATATTTTTAAAAATATACCCCAGTTTCCCTCTTCTATGTTGGTTAATTAGTCTAGGCGTCTTTTGAGCATTATTTTTAGCCTTGTTTTTTAATTCAAATAGCTTGTGTGTGTGCATGCACGCCCGTGTACACATCTGCACATCATGAGGTCAGAACCAGTTCTCTCTCTCCACCCTTTGAGTTGCAGGTATCGAATTCAGGTTGGAATTCAGGCATGGAAGCAAGGGCCTTTACCACTGATCCACCTTGCTAGCCCAATTTCTGTTGTTGGGTTTTTTGGGGGGGGGCACCCAGAATTTCAGAGGCAGAAGGATTGCAAGCTCAAGGACAGACGAGGCTACAAAGCATGTACTTAGATCCTACCTCAAAAAGAATCGAGTACCAACTGAGCCATCTCACTGGCCCTCATGCCCTTTTTTAGCAAGGTCCTTGGTAGTCTCTAAAGACACACTGGAAATAAACATACATACATTTAGTGTGCCATTCACCATAAAATAGAAAACCCCCAAGAATGGGAACTTCATTCTTTCCATACTTGGATTGACAGAGTGTAAAACAGGCCTTTGTCCAATGGACACTAAGTGATAGATAACCTGTGAATAAACCTGTTCATTCATACTAAACCTTTGCTTTAAGGAACGTGCTCATTGGATACAAGGCAAAGGCAGCAGTATACTCCACACTGTGGAGTGCAGGGTCAGCTTCTCTTCTCAATGCTGTGACAGGATGCCTGACTGAAGCAGCTTAAGGAAGAAGGGGAATTTCAGTCACAGGCTGAGGGAACAGTGCATCATGGCAGCGGGATCTCGAGGCTGGTGATGAACAGCCTCCCCAGTCAGAAAGCAGATTCATGAATGCTGGCGCTCTACTCTCCTCCTTTCTACTCAAAGGCCCCGAGCTCATGGGATAGTGCTGCTCACACTCACAGGCCTTCCAAACTTCCGGCCACATTCAGAGCTGTTTTTCCTTGGCCATTCTAGCAATTCTAAATCCAGCTAAGTTAGCGATCTGTGATTGACCACTGTCACAAATACCATGCCACCAGAGAGGAAAAGGATCTATCAGCAGTTCACATTCCTTAATATTCTTTTGTTTTGTTTTTGTTGTTTTTTGTTTTTTGTTTTTTTTTCGGTCCTGGGAGTTGGACTGACAGCGCATAAGACAGGCCATTATGTCCAATAGACATTAAACGATAGATAATCTGTGAATGTGTTCACAGATTTCATACATTAGGCAAGCACTCTACCACCGGGCTCTATCCTTAGCCCTATCTTACTTTGTTTAAAGTTAAATAGATAAGTAATCACATGTGCTGGTACCCGTTTACTGCGATATTAAACATGACATCACATGCCCACTTCCAGAATAGGACTGATTTCTAGTTGTTCTTCATTCTAAGTTCCTCAAGGAAAGGGCTTGGGCTGAATACATGTGTCAAGGATGGAAAAGAAAGGCTGAAGAGACTGTGTACTCATTTCTCTCCTGAAGTTATGAGGCGCCACAGAGATTACAAAAATTCTTCCTTTGCTTTCACCAGGATTTGTCTGAGTGACCACTCCTAACAGGAAGGGTTTTAGGGGCTGCTGTTTCTTAAACTTGCAAGGTATATTCACATTTGAATATAAGGCTCAGTGGACAGAAGGCTTTGCCCATACTGAAAGAACATTTTTCTATCTGTGTTCTCTGCACATCCTGTGCGCTGGTCAGGAAAGGGACTCAGTGGGCTTGGATTTCACCAAAGACTGTTGTACTCTAAGGTGAGTTTTGGGCTACAAATTGCTCAAGATGATTCCAACTTGGCTAGTGGAGATGGTGCACCTTCTTACAACGTTCTGGCCAGAACTTCAAATAAGAACTTCAGAAAAGCCCTACCAACTATTCAGAGACTATCTGCAATTCTGCCAGACAGTAATCTTGAAATTTAACCATCATTTTAGTTTTTACAGGATCCCATAGAAATAACATCATCCCCATGCCAGCTGGAAGTAATTCTAGAAAACAGCATCCCTTCTTGTAATCAGAGACTGCTTGCTTGTTCCCAGCCGCCCTTACCCAAATAATCACACAGAAATCATATTAATTACAACACTGTTTGACCAATGGCTCATGTGTATTCTTAACTAGTTCTTACATATTAAATTAACCCATTGCTATCATTTTATATTTTACCACAAGGCTGTGGCCTACCAGTAAGGTTCTGATGGCCTCTCCTTCGGCAGCTACGTCATCTCCCTGACTCCACCTACTCTCTCCTGCCTGGCTTGACTCTGCTAAGCCATTGACCAAAACAGCTTCTTTATTAACCCATGGTAATAAAACATATTCATAGCATACAGAGGGGAATCCCACATCACCCTCTCCCAACAAAGTTTGTCCTCAGGGTTAGAGACAATAGTCATCTGTTAGGGGTTGGTTATAAGTGGCATAGGGTTGAGGGTGGAAATGAGGTAGGCTCAGGGATCTCTTCTGAAAAAAAAAAGGGATGGGATGATAGGTAGCTTAGTGTATTTATTTGAGCTATTAGCTATACACAATTTACATTGGTATAAATTCTTCTATATTAATATAAATTCAAATTGTATTTGTTATATTGAATATGCTATTTATGTTTACAGTATTTTTGCACCTATGCAAACATATTTTCTCATATTGTTTGATTGCATGTTTCTATCTCTGCTTAAGGTATTTTTTATATTGATGCAATTTTAGGATATACTTATCATATTGCACTATACATTTCTACCTCTGATCAAGATACTTAATATTGTTTATATTTTGAGGTCACTGCCCTCATTTGCTACATATTTGTTTAAAGATTGTTTAATTTTTTTAATGTGAAGCCTTAGTCTTTAAGCTATATAGGTATTAAGAATTACAGGTCAATAGTCACCCACGTTTGTCATACTTATAGTTAGACTAGTCAAGCTCTTTAGATACACAGAGATTGTATTTCGCATAGAAGGGTAATCTTCAAACACTTCAAAGAGCTGCAGAATGTGGCATTTAAATAACCCAGGATTCTGTTGCCTTGAGACATGATTGCTCCTCGCAGCACCAATCTATTCCCAAGAGAATGTTGGGCACCGGAGACACTCCACTTGGAGCTTGTTTTCTTCTTGGCAAAACTGGCTTTTGGGCAAAGAACTGCCCTTGCCTTGACCACTGACAAAATACATGGTGTCCAGACTGGACAAGCAGGATACAAGCAAAATGACTGTTGAATCTTGCCAAGACAGGGTAAAACAGTCTTTCCAATATTCTAGCCTCTGAATATGATCTGTCAGATACTCCAGACTTTAGTCAAAGTTGGCTTCCCCAACACAGCAAATGAGACTTCGGGTGATTACCCAAGTAGCTGGTTATCTCTGTCATATTTTGCCCCTTTTGGAAGTTGCTTAATTGCACTTCCTGTTTACTCAAGTAATATAATTTCCATTCTTATGTCTTTGATGGGGTTGAAGACTAGATAGTTGTAGTTACTTTCCTCTCATGACTTAGTGAAGACATTTTTATTGTAAGACTTAGACTCCTAGGATAGGATAACTACTGAAACATTTAACATTTGTTTCTTTCTTCATTTTGTTCATGCTGGTTGTAACTCTAATTTTTTTGTATGTTTTTGCCTCTCCTTTTCCCTGGACAATACTAGGTATTTATTCTTATTGTATATAGTTTTGTATTAGACTTAGAACCCTCTTATTTAGACAAAAGAAGGAGGTATTGTGAGAACTTCAGCCAATAACTTTTAGATACTGCCCATTTTGAGCACTGTCTCAGGTACTGTAAATGCAGACAGGAAGCATGTGTGGTCCCTTTTTTTCCTGCTGGATTCAGTTCCCAGTTTCCAGCACACACAGAGGACTGTGAGTTTATCCCCAAATAAATAAACCTTTGTTATACTCCATTCCCGGCTATTGTGGAATTCTTTGATTCACCTACAGAAGACTCTGGATTTTAGATCATCAATAGCAGCACTACAAAACAGGTATTGCCATCTTTGTTTTGTTCTTGAAAGTGTACATAGGCTGGATATGAACTTGTGAGAATTCTCCTGCCTCAGCCTCCAGAGTGCAGGTATGGGTCACACCCTTCCCACTCCTGTCATCCTCAACCTTTGAATGGAAAAACCAGGAGGCATTAGGATGCTAGAAGAAATCAAATGGCACATCCCAGAAGTTTAATAGAAGAAACGATATTTATACAGTGGAATGGAGGCAGGAGAGGGACAAAGCAAAAAAGATTACTGAAGTACCCTGGGAAGTGACAGTGGCCTGTTGAGAAGGGTGGAGTCAATTAGGTAAGCGCTGCTGGCAACGTGCTGGATATTGATAACTAGATGCCCGAGCCCCAGAATTGGTACCAAAGACTGGAGTCAGTGGAGAGAGAAACTTGCAACCTGAGAAAACCCAGCTCAGGGATTGAGTAGACAGAATGAGAGAACACAGGGTTCATGTCTGACCTTCTCCTTATTCAACAACTTTGCCTGGTTAGTAGTCCTGGAACAGACTCCATAGAACAGACATGTCCCAGTGACACAGATCCTAACATCACATGCACTTCTTACTTAGATGGCAGCCTGGTATGCTCCCTGCTACCATCTTGCTCACAGTGATGTCATCTAGCTTTGCAGGCGCTCTAGGTTTCCAAACACAGTCAGGACCAGGTCCATGGGAAGCCCTGTCAGAATGAAAAAATGTTTTTGGAGGGTGAGTGTGGAGATACTTGGTTCGCATTGTTTGGACACAGGTTCCGCTGCATAAGCTTTGCTGACCTGGAGCTCACCATGTACCCCAGGCTGGGCCTCAAACTCACAGCGATCCTACCTCAGCCTCCCCAGTGCTGGGATAATGTGCTGTAGCACCACACCACTTCAGACCATGTTTGACAAGGGTTGCACTCTAGGGCACAAGCTAAGATGTGCAGTGGTGGTGCGCACACCTTTAATCCCAGTAATTGAGATGCAGAAGCAGGAGGATCTCTGTGAGTTTGAGGCCAGTCTGGTCCACAAGGTGAGTTCCAGGACCGGTAGACTGTTACACAGAGAAAACTTGTCTCAAAAATAAAAACAAACAAACAAACAAACAAACAAATAAGGGACAGTGCAGAATATGAGGAGTGAGGAAGAGGCAGACAACCACCAGCTTCCTTGCAGGGGACACAACGTCTGTGATCACAGCACTTGCAGCTGCTAAGAGGCAAATCTACTTCATGCATTGCTAGACAAGTTGGAGCCTTGGGTGGAAACTGACTTTCTGTTAACAACTCATGACTTGGGAATACCACACATCTTTGATTTGACTAATAGAAACAAATACCTAGTTCTTATTAGAGCCTTAAATGTACGTTATAAGATATGCAAATCACTAGGCCCAACACGAGCTCAATAAATAATGGCCATTACTCCTTGTATTGTTAAGCCTACAAAGACTCTTCAGCATAAATGACTGTTCTGTTTAAAGACATATTTGTTACTGCAAACACAGACATTGTAACAGGGAATTCTTTCACAGGTGACTTAGTAAATCACGGGTAAAGGTAACATCCAACTTAATCCTAAATTTAATCTTTTCAAAGTCCTGTATGTAGAGTTACTGGGAAGGAGCCTAAGTGGAGGCTCAGCTCGGGGGACCAGCATGGGAAGACTGGCACCCTAGCTGTCCTTACACTTGCTCAGTAGTTGCTCCTCAGACAACAGCAATAACGTTTTAGGCTTATGGCTATGAGACAAGTTCAAACAAAGACAACTTTTGTTTTGCAAATCAAAATTTATGCATAACCTTATCATTTTCTCCCCAAGTTTTCATTTTGGAATAAACAAAGACTAAATTAAAATTTCCCCAAGATATATCTAGCGTTTTCTTTTTCTTTTTCCTTTCCAGAATTGTGACATGAACAAGGTTTGCCCGAGGTAATCACTTTCAGTCACTCTGGGGGGGATAGTCCCACTCTGCAGATTCCTTTTCTGTTTTATCTTACAGACAGTCACAGCAGCATGCCCCCTTTAGAGAATGCTAATATAAACCTTGCCCATGTCACACGGTCCATTGCTCTTACTCAGACAGTTTCCCAGCAGCTCCTTGATGGAGACACAATCCTCCGTCTCTAGCACGAACTGTTCCACAGCCTTGCGCCCCGGCAGCTGGTTCCCCACCATGACACTTCTGACGCTCTCCAGGACAACGCCCCTGATGGCTTTAGGCCTCCCAGGGACACCGAAGGCGATAAACAGGCCCAGACAGTCCTCTCCCACCAAGGTACAGAACTCTTCCAGCTTCTCAAATCTGCCTTTCTTCCAACACTCCTCTCCCTTTGACTCACAGGATTTGGGGTCCCACAGAGGAGGAGGGGCAGTCATCCTCAGGGCCTGCACTGCCACCTGAAGCCGTATCTGCTTATCAGGTCCCCAGAAGGTCCAAATCCAGTCTGCTCCGAACAGCAAGGCCTGGTGCTTGGTCATCCTGGTGGTGGTGAGCCACTCATCGGCCCCCCTCTCCTGGCAGAAAGTGATGAAGTGGACGAGGAAGAGCTCATTCAGCGTACTCGCTGCAAGGCCGAGACTGCTCAGTGGATACTCAAACCCGAGGTACTCCTTCAGCTTCTGCGCTGCGTGGGCGACGGCTGCGCTGACCACCTCGCACATGGCGAGAACCTCCTGGCTGTCCTTTGGAGCCAGGCTTCTCCGAGCCTGCTGGGAGGCCTTTTGTCCCATTTTACCTCTGCCCCAGGAGATGCTCCTCTCAGCTACCAGACATGGGAATGTCACCAGGAACCGCTTCTTTTTCAGAGAACAGTTTCTTCGTCAAACCAAGTCTGTTGAGACTGTCCCCAGCTTCCTAATGCCACAGCTTTTGTTGGTGTGGCTAGCCATACAGACCCGAGGTTGGCAAACATGTGAGGGTTTCCTGTTTGACAACTGGGTGTGTTGTGCTCACAGATTCCTGCCGCCTGCCAAGTGACAAATGACAATTTCACACACACACACACACACACACACACACACAAAAACAAAACAAAACAAAACAAAACAAAACAAAACAAAAAAAAACACCTGTTCTTCTCCAGGTTTTGTAGATCTTTGGTAAACTCTGCCTAAGTGTGGTTCCTATTTCCAAAAAGACCAGTCAAATAAAAACAAGTACGCGAGCGTACAGGCTGGAGTCATGCATCCTTTCTCTCCAGCCAATACCTCCAAGTTTGCAAGTCGCCTCTGCCCTGACCCTTCGTTCCCCAAGTACGCTGTTCATCTTTCCTTTTATATACGCTTCTTAAGTAGAGGTCTCAGTTCGTCTGTGAGTCGTGCTGTGAACCTGAACAAACAAACATAGGCAAGCTGATATATAATAGCCTGTTTTGCTACCAGGAACAAGACCCTGTTATTTTGAACAAAGGAACAGTAAATAATGACAATTAAAAACACAAGGCAGTTATCAACTGACTTTATTTCTTTTCATAAGGAAATGCCAACAGTGCATAATACTTTCGTAAATAAAATATATAATCAAAAGTTTTTACCTTTATCACATATCATCGGTTGTTACACTGTCCTTACTAAAGAGTATTTGGCATCTGTAACAGTCTGCTGGCACTTTCACCCAGGGTCTAATAACAAACTGAGCTTTTCAAATGGTGATATTTATTCATGTTAAACTAAAATCCCAGTACAGGAAGAAGCCAATAACGTCATCAATCATGAACGGGAGCATTCAAAGGAAATCAGGGTTAGCATCAGATAATTTCAGTCAGAAATAAAGAGTGGTGTTACAACCTTCACAATGAACAGCTTCATGATCTGCTGAGCATTTATAGAAGGAATACCGCTCACATTCAGAAATGGTTATCACCAAATCTATTACCATACACTGAACTGCCCCCCTGCACCCCAGTGTGTAAGCTCCTGTCTGCACACAGTTAGTCTCGTTGTGTGCAGTCCTGGATGAAAAACAGATTGTCCCCAACCCCGCTGAACACACACACACACACACATACACACACACACACGCACGCACGCACGCGCACACACACGCACACGCACACACACACACACGCCACAGGAACAGCTGCTCTCAGTTTTCCATTTTCTTTAAAAAGAGCTTTAGGGTCGTGTGTTACAGAGACCATGAGCAATGTGCCACTGGACAGGAAAACATGCTGCAGCTTCAGAGCACTGGATCCTGACTGAAACCACATGCAGCCCCCTAAGCTGACAATGTGAGTGTAAGGTACAGTCGGCATGGCGTCGTGGTGCATTCGGCAAAGAAGAAATCATATGCAAAGGCTCTGTTTTGGTTTGGGTTTTTCCAAAGTCGCTCTAACAGAACCTTTCCTGAGGGGCAAGGGCAGCCAAGGATCCATTATGAAGCAAACGGGGTCAACATGAAAGTTGAAGTTTCGAAACTGCTCTGTGAGTTTGTGGGGATTACCGAAGTGTATGTCACGTAAAAATGTATCAACGGAGGGAGAATCTCAGAAGTATACGTCATGTGAAAATGTATCAGTGGAGGGGGAATCACCGAAGTGCATGTCACGTGAAAAATCTATCAACGGAGGGAAAAAAGACTGAGATCTTCAGGAATCTGCTGGTATAAAAAAATTGAGAACACTGGGGTTTCTTCGTTTTTAATATGATCTTTGGATCCCGTGTCACAAAATAAAAGTTCTGTTTTCTATATACTGTATATATACACACATATTTAGAAAAATATATAAAAATAAGACAGTCAGAGGCCAGTGGAGGTGCGTGGCATTTAGCGGCACCAAATGTGATGAGCACTTGGATCTGGAGAGCAGCACGTTCAGCTTAGACGGCTGCAAAGAACACTGATGTGGCCAAACCTCCGTCCTGGGGATGTGAATGAAGCACTCTGGCAAAACACCCAACCTTATATGCAACACGTTAAATAGAATATATCACAGACTTTACATTAAATAGAGGCAGAGCGAGCAGACTTCCGTTCACCAGCGTCTCGTGTTTCTTCAGAATTGGCACCATTCCCCTGCGTGACAGTCCCACTTCTGAGTGAGCAGAAGTCGGAACAATTAACAATGCACAACCTGCCACCTGTTGCACATGCTATCTGAAAGACAGAGTTGGAAAACGACATCTGTGTGGCTGATCCTGCCCGGGTGCTCCGGTCAAACGTTGGAGTCTTCATCTGTGATGCTGGCACTGGGGGAGCGGGCAGCAAAATCTTTAAACATGTCGTCTTCCTTTAACATGTGCTGAAAAATAAGGGGCAGAGCTCAGCACCTGTCGACACGCAAGTGAGTGTTTGTGGCTTTGGATACTTTTAGAGTAACATTTTCAGCTCCCGGTCCACACTTACTGTGAGATTGTTGATGCCTTCGGAGAACGCACCGATCTGCCTCACCGTCCCTTCTGAATCCTCCATCTGCCAAGAACAAGCCACAATGTGACAAACTCACTCACACAGTTTCAGAAGGGCAGATAAATCCACGAAAGTAAAGTGGGAAGAATGTAAGTGGCACAGAATGCAGCAGGGGCCACAGGGATCCTGTGCCTCTGTGTCCCCTCTGAAGACACTTCCCAGGTACTGAGGATAAAGTACACAAAGTGCTGAGGACAGCACCGGGAAGCAGGCTGCAACCTGCGGGTATTTCAATACGTCACGATTTTTCTTTTCAGGCATGTGAAGACGGCACACTTCATGAGTGAGTGTGCAAAGCTTCCACGGTGCATCCAAGTGCCTGTGGGTACAGGGTGCAGGGCTTACCTGCTCTAACCGGTCCAAATCATCCTCTTCATAAAGGCGCATGTCCAAGCCAGTTCTAAATCCCTTCTGGGAGCTACTCCCCGAAGTGTGGCCCAGTTCCATGGGACAAACATATTCCTCTCCGTCTTCTTGCTTCTTCTTCCTCAGGTTCCCAAAGTTGCTAAAGGTCAGTTTCTTGGGCTTTAAAGCAAACAAAAAGGCACCCAGGAGTTTGATAAAACTCTCATGACAAAGGACTAATAACAAGTCTAAGTTATTTATTCACTTCATCACACAAAGCAAGCAACCTGGATGATCAAACTATCACAAGAAAGCCAGAAGAATCCTGGACATACAAGCCATGCACCATGGCCTTGGTGTAACTCTCAAAGGGTGAATCTCACTGTGAGGACACAGACGGAACATGCCGAGATCCTTTGTTAGCATTAGATAGAATTTAACACAATAGATCACTTCTCAGAGATGAGTCAAATTGTGCAAAACGAGTCAATCTAAGATCAGTAAAAGACGGTGATTCTAACTGGTCTAGCGGCGCAGACCTGCCCGCAGTCACAGCTACTTGGAAAGTGAGGCAGGAGAATCACAAGCTTAAGGCCTGCCTGAGTCACTTAACAAGAGCCTGGCTTGAAATAAAATATTAAAAAAAAAAAAAAGCCCGGCGGTGGTGGCCCACGCCTTTAATCCCAGCACTCAGAAGGTAGAGGCAGGTGGATCTCTGTGAGTTTTAGGCCAGCCTGGTCTACAAGAGCTAGTTCCAGGACAGGCTCAAAAAGCCACAAAGAAATGCTGTCTCCAAAAACCCAAAATCGAAAAAAAAAAAAAATTTAAAGGAAAGGACAGACTGGGGTACATAGGTCAACGGTAGAGCATTTGCCTAATATGGTTAAGACCCTAGGTTGAAACCCAAGCTGGATGGAAAAGAGGGAGGGAGGGAGGGAAGGGACGTCGGACAATAAAGCTGTGGTTACTTTGTTTGCCTAGTCTGCCTCACAGGAGGCCTGGTGAGTGGTCAAAGACTCCACACTCTTGGAGAGAATGTGTCTACTGATCTTTAGGAGAGAAACTTCATCTTAGTCTATACAACCCCCAAGGAGGAAGGAATTCAAAGTCAGACAGGGTAAGAACAAAGAGAGCTTGGCATATATTTCTAGGAGAACTCCTAAGCTGCCTTCACATTAAGGATGTGGAAATAACACATACAAACAAGTTGACACAGGAATAACTCAAAAGAAAAAGTAATCTTCTACAACCCTCAAACCCTGGCAAGTAAAAAACACCCCACGGTCTTTATGTGTAGCTCAGATCAACCCTGAGTTTGCAATCCTCCTGCCTTAGCCACTTGCATGCTGGGATTACAGGCAGGTTTAACAACCCCTGATTTTGACGCTCTCCTTAAGAAGACTTTTTTGACTTATAACCCAAACAAGCTGAATATATGCAAGGAGAAACCCTTAATATGTGCAAGGAGAAACTTGCTGGTTCATTTACTAATCAGCAGCACTGAGGTCAAACCCAGGCCTCATGCTTGCCAGGCATGTGTTCACCACTCGGTTACTCCCAACCCAAGTCTTCCTCTTACACCATTCACCAACAGGAAAGCAAAACCACTGCAATGGTAAATTGGGCCCCAGACATAGCCCTCAGCATTGGCAATGCGCTGAGGACAGAAGCCAGTGTCACCTCTAACTCTACTATGACAAATGACTTCAACAGGAACTTTCAAACAGGCAGGCCCTTAATTGCTCCTGAAAGTCATAAATATGTCTGTGTAGACTTTCTATCTCATCAGTAAAACTGAGCAACCCTCAAAAGATGGAAGGATGGGGCCTCTGCACTCACTACACAACGATCAAATGAACCAACCTTCACTTTGGCAGTAGCTGTTAACAGTACATAATCTGGTAACTCCATGGCATCCCGCTTCTGGTGCTGGGCCTCAGCACCGATCAGAAGGTTGAAATGGGTGGCCAAATGTCTGCGCAGCAAGGTCTTATTTGGTGGAATGTTCAACAACTGAGCCATGGTTTCCACATTAAAACGAGGCTCAAGGACCTGTAAGAAAAATTGAGATTGGTAAAAGGTGCCATGGGTCATACACGGTTGTAGCGGAAGCACTTTACAATTTGCAAGCAGCCTTTCCTCTGGGTCATCCCCAACAGCCCTATCAACAGCAGAGGGCACAGACTTTGATTGCTTTCTTTTCTAGATTTTTTTTATGTGTAAAAGTGTTTGCCTACATGTATGTATGTATACCACATGTGTACAGTGTCCACTGAGGAAAGAGAGTCCAGACCCCCTGGAAAGGGGGTTACACATGGTCAATGGCCACCATATGGGTGCTGGCCAACTAAAGCCAGGTCCTCTGCGAGAGCAGTCTCTCCAGCCTGGACTCATCACCGCGCCTGAGTGAGGGGGTGAACTGGCTGTGTAACCCAGGGGATTACAGGGGATGCAGAAGCAGTACGTCCTTCTATTTGGAACACTGGCTCTGAAAGCAACGCTCGTGGAACACGGATGTGCAGAGATCCTACGGCTGCTGGATGTCAGTCAACACTGACGGGCAATGAGAAAAAACAGGCTTAAACCTAACTCAGAGAAAGATGCTAGAGATACTCTGCGAGAGAAATCCAGCGTAAATGCAAGAGGGCGGGGATGAAGTATCTCCAGATCATTAAAAACAACCGATGCAGGATGAGTGTCCCATCTACAATGCTTGGAACCAGGGTTTAGATTTGGGGGATCAGCACGAAGTCATTTCTCTTGGGGGGAGGATCGAGTTGCAACCCAGATTCACTTGTGCTTCAGATACAGACAGCCTTCTGGTGACAGGATGCAGTCCTTCTAGCTCCCAAGAGCTATTCTACCATATAGAATTTTCCACTCGTGAGGTCGAAACACAGAAGTGACAGATTTCAGATCAAGACTGCTCACCCTTGGGACTAAGGGGAACCAAGCAAGCAGTCAGTTTCAGACTGAAAGAGCTTTACCATGAGGCCTCCGTGGACTCCACTGCCTCTGAGATTGGGGGCGTATTCTGCCAAGTCCACAGAGCGTAGCCACTCCATCACACGGTGGTTGGTCCACTGCTGGACCTCAGATGGGGTGATGCCATTCTGTGGAAACAAACACACGTTATACCTCCAGTGCTAAAGGCAGGGCCTGCGACACTGAACCCACATGTGTGATCTAACAGGTCTGGCCTAGAAAGCAATACTATCTGGTCTCCATGAGCTATCAAAGAGAAGGGAAAACAAGTGTTTGCTAATTTGACTGCTCTCTGAAAGAACTTATACCACAGGCTCAAGCTTCTTTATGTAGTATTAAGAGAGGCTGAAGGAAATATTTACAGTGACATTTTACTCCGTGAATTGGGGTGGCAGTAAAAAGCATAGCCCACGAACAGGAGGACGCAGAAAAACACCCTTTGGCTTTAGTGACAGTGGAACCTTTACAGAAATAAAAGGGAGGGAGAGGAAAGCAAAGCCCACGAAGTCAGTAGCCAGCTTTCTCCGCAGGTTCCAGGAGAAAAAGGCTCTGAGTTTTTACACACGGGCCGCCAAGCTCATGTGTGCAAGCGTCTTGTCTGAAATGTTACCTCGTCGGACGGCCGCCTCCGCAGGCAGTTTGGCTCGAAGTTATTGATCCTCAGGACTTGGATGGCCCTTTTGATACTGAGGTGATGCAGCACGCTCACGACCTTCAGGGACAGCAGGTCATCCTACAGGGGAGAAACAAGGAGTTCACTGTGTAGGCCACAACAGGGGGCAGGGGGCTTCCGGGGGAATCCCAGAACTCTGTTTGTGATTTCAGGCTTCATACAGTAACAGAACCCCTGTCCTGTTCTCAACAAATCCCTTTCTAGAATCTCAAATTCCTATTGTGCACCCCTCTCTCACTCCTCCAGATGCTCTGAGAGGATACAGCACACAGGGCTCTGGAAAGGACAACCTGCTGCTTATTAGGGGGAGAGAGACAGTCTCTTGGCATCCGGGCTAGCCTCAACTCAAGATCCTCCTGCCTCTCCCTCCAGAGCTGCTGAGACTGAGAACTGTGGTGCTGGGCCTTGAGGGGTTCCTGTTTCCTCTGCAGTCCCCAGAACTTGATCTGCAGGCAGCGTAGACACTCAGGCACCCAAAGATGGGCAGCCACACTGCCCTCCCTCTCTCTCGGCAGATAGGTGGGCCAGAATGTTCCCTTATGATCAAGCTTCTTGGCCTGCCAAGTTCCCAGTCTGGGTTATTTGCACCACCTAGCAGACATGGTGACCAATACTGGAAAAAGTATGTCCCCCAGTGTAAGGGTTTGGATGACAGCAAAGGAGAAAAGACACGAAGTCTTGTAAGTTTCAACATATCGCCAATCAGCTTCTTCAAGGAAACACTCTGGGCAGGCTGCGGCCATGGAGAGCAAGTTCAAACATGCCCAACACACTTAAACAAATAATTTCGGCAATAGGTGATTTCAGGGCAGTGCCGAGATAAATCTTGTAAACACACCCAGAGAATAAGCAGAGGGCTGTCCATGTCGGCACACAGCACACCTTACTGACTGCACGTTACTTGTGGAAAAGAAAGTCCAAGAAAGGAACTTGCTATAAAAATGTTTCTAAGAGCAAAAATAAAGAGTTGGCAATTTATCCTTGAAGCTACTGAGCAAAAATTATTTCCTAATTTTTTGTAGGATTACTTCATTAAAATCAGTGTTTTAGGATAAATGAGAAAAGGCTTTTTAACATATTTACTCTGAAACCGAGACGCTCATTTCTGAACATTTCGGTGTAGGCTACTTTCCTTTCGCTGAAGTCTATCAGGTTAAGAAATATCTAACTTATACTTCTGAAAATATATTTGAAGAGTTTCTACAAGGATTGCTTTCATTTAAAACCCTTTTTAAGCTTGGGCATTGTGGTGCACACCTGCAATCCCAGGACTCAGAAGGCAGAGGCAGGCGGATCTCTGTGAGTTCCAGTCAGAGCTACACAGTGAGATCCCATTCAAACAAACAAACAAACAAACAAATAAAGTACAGCAAATAAATAAATAAATATTTTAAAATAGTTTTAGACTAAAACAAGGGTTCCTAGGTAGTATAGAGGTCTCCATGCATTTTATAGCTTCTCTTAATATTCACACCTTATGAGACTATGGCACATGTCAGAATTAAGAAACTAATACAGATAGTAAAATAAAGCACAGGCTTTATTCATCTTTTGCTAATTTTAGAACTTATCTGTTATTATCATTAGTGCGTGTGTACGGCATCTATGGAGGGACGCACTCACACACATGGAGGGACGTGAACATACACATGACGGGACGCGAGCACACGCATGGAGAGCAGAGGACAGCTTTGTCATCATTAGTGCCTGTGTACGGCATCTATTGAGGGACGCGCACACGCATAAAGGGACGTGAGCATACACATGAAGGGACGCGCGCACACGCATAGAGGGACGTGAGCATACACACGAAGAGACACGAGCACATGCATGGAGAGCAGAGGACAGCATTAGTGCGTGTGGACAGCATCTATTGAGGGACGCGCGCACATGCATAGAGGGACGTGAGCATACACATGGAGGGGCGCGCACACACGCATAGAGGGACGTGAGCATACACATGGAGGGACGCGAGCACACACGTCGAGGTCAGAGGACAACTCTGCAGAGTCAGCCCCCGCCTTCCACCTTCACATGGGTCACAGGTCATCGGTCATAGGTCATTGGGCTCGCTTAGTAAGCACTTACACCTGCTTAGCCATCTCATCGGCTCCCAGATTGGCTTTTTACTTCCTGGTTCCTACAAATTTCCCACTCAGATCCTTGTTCTGTTCCTGGAGCCAAGCCAGGGAACCACATTTTAACGGGGACTTTTGACTTGGGACTCATAGGTCACACCTTCCTGGGTCAGTCTATGTCTTTCAGGCATGAAGATCTTGCATGTGCTTCCTGTACTTTTGAGTCTTAAGTTGCTCACCTTCTCGTGGGACAACTGACCCATCACATCCCATGGCATGGACAGAGGGCGGTCAAATGCCACTAGACTGTCCCAGGTGGAATAGTGAGCTATTCCAAGAGAAGGACCCTTAAACCATTCTGGGTTTAAATTCTCTATGATACCCTATCACTTAGTATCCATAGAAACCTGATTAACATTACCTAGCCTCTCAATCCCTTGTTTCCTCATCTTAGGATGGAGATGATATTGACGCTGAGGGTTACTGGGAATCGCGCATCCAGGAATGTGCGCTTAGAAAAGACAGTGGCTATAAAGCATGGCGAATGCATTAGGTCATGCAAGCTTACACGGAATTAGCAGGTTAATTTCCACTTATTTCACAAAGGTAATACTTATGGGGCTGCCTAGTTTACAAATAAAAGCATCTCATATAAAACATTAATCATACAATGGAATCTAGAACAAGGTTCTGGAATCCATCCCTCTGCTGCTGTAAGTAGGGAATGGTCTCTCTATCATTGGCTGGAAGACTAGAAATCCCCAAGAGAGAAGGAAGCAGTGCCAGTCCGGCCCCACTTCCTCTCTCTGCCCCGTAACTGCTGCCCTCATGGGACGGATCTGTACAAAGGAAGGCAAGGGAGGAGGCCAGCCCTTGCAGATGCCAGGCGAAAGGTAACACAGAAACACCCAGGGCTGCAGTCATCTTTATGAGATCTAAGTCACATACCACAGAATGCAAACATGCACAATGCACACTTCAGAGTTTACCGTACTGACTGTATCAATACTGTAGATAAGCTTGGGCTAAGTTTAGTTTTGCTTGGCTTAAACTGGGTTTCAAATTACCCAAAGCTGTGCCAATTGCCAGATCCTACCACATCAACTTCTCAGGAAACACCCAACAGAGAGCCACTTACCACTGTCATGTAATGCAGCATCCGACCATCCACCCGCCCTTCATCGAACTGAGTCTTATACTGAGGGAGGCCAATGTCATCCAGCCATCCTACAGGAGGAAAGCCAGAGTCAGCCTATTCCTGGGATCAGGGGGGAAATGTGGCAATACTGATTCTTTGTCGCCCGGAAAGGCCTCTTACTAGTGACCCAGTTGAAGTCCAGCTTCCCATAGTTGGTCTCTTCTTCAGACCCCAGGGCCTGCAGGGCCAGCTGGAGCTTCTTGCGATGCAAGGAATGCTTGATGCCAAGTTCCTAAAACAATAAACAGAACCTCAGAATCCTACCCATCCAGCCAAGCATGCAGAATCCTCGACAATGATGCTGCCCTTAAAGATCAGCTCTGTATTACGTTAAAATACTGCCTCAGGCTAACAAACCCATTCTACATTAAATTATTGTATGAACCTCAGGCCAAGACAATATTGCCGAAGAAGAGGCCCAAGTGTACCATGGTGGGCTGAGCAGAATGTCAGATGTTGCCTAGGGATTCATTTCACTTGTGAGTAAGAAAATGTTGAATGTGTGATGGGGATTTTACTCCTATATTGTGGACAAATGTCCAATAATTACAACATAAAATATAGAATATTTTTTGTGAAGTAAAATAGAATTGCACAGATTACACTGAAAAGATAAATCAATGAAAGTTTCCGAATGACTGAGACGTATAAGTTCTATTCATTATATAAGGTCTATCCATTATGTAATAGCTATATAATTACAGAAGCTAATACCTTTTCAAAAGTGGTAATACAGGTTCTACTCACACTGCTTTGCTTTAGAATAACTAATTCATACTCTACGCCACATTATTAGAATAACTAATAGTTCATATTAAGACAGGGGGAGGGTAGGTGTTGCTGGGATTGAACCCTGGGCCTCCCACAGGCCAGACAAGCACTGTACCACAGAGTACATTCCCAACTACACATGGACAAACAAGGCAGGAGTAGCTACCTTCTCTAGGTCTTGCTGAGAAGCCTGCAGAAGTGTCTGGCCAGATATAATCCAGTGCTTGCCAGAATTCAGGTAGGACCCCAAGCCTTGCTCTGCTAGCCAACTGCACACTTGTTCCTTTGTCCATTTGGCAAATGGCATATCCAGGTCACTGTGGGAAAATAAGCAACAACCTTAAGCCAGTCCTGCAGCTTAACAGTCCACAGTGAGCATCTGTGCGTAGAACGGTATAGAAGTTACCTGGCAACACACAAATAACCAAGAAAAACCTAGTTTTCTGTACAGGACTGGTAAATTACCTTCTAAAATCCCGGTTTTCAATTCAAAAGAAACTGCAAAAGGATCGGTGAGAGCTACCAAAAACTCACGCTTCAGAAAAACACCAAGAAGAGCCAGCCATGTAAGTCAGATTCAAACGATGCTATGCTCTCCAAAGAGCACACTCTCAAATAAAAACACTCTACTTGGCTGAAGGAAATTAGAGTCTCATATGAATTCACTTTGGCAGAATTATGGTTTCTCTCTGGCAGAGATCACTGAGAAGATAATATTCTCTTGCTAAGTACAGGAAGGGACTCTCCAGCAAAGTTTGTATTTTCTTTACTTACCGTCTTGAAAAAAAGAATATGAGGGTGCCTGGCTAGATTTAAGAAAAAGCTATTTACAGTGAGTGGTGTGTGTGTCTGTGTGCGTGCGTGGAATGTGCACACATCCCAGTATGCACATGACAAAATATTTTTTTAATAGCACAAGGGAGTTCTTCATTATGCTTGAGGGGGACATATGGCAAGTGAGAACATCTGTTATCCGAAGGCCAAAGGGAACTTCTGCGTCCAGGGCCCCACCTGTGTGGGAGCATCTGTTTCCAGCTGATTATTCTTTTAAAAGGGCTCAGTATCAAGACCTTGATGTTTGCCAACCCCGCCCTTTTATGCTCAGAAGGTCAGTGAAGTTGGCTCCAAACTGGTTCTAGCTTTGGAGGAAGCACAGGGAGGGCTCTTGGAGGGAAACATTGTATAGTCTTTCCCCAGCTAGTGTAAGGAGGCATTTACTCATTCTACTCACTCGGGGGAACAACCTATGGTCTTGATAAACTCAGGGATTGCAATAGAATATGTCTTTAAATACTTTCAAAGACAGCAACAACAGCTAATGTCTATTGATCAATTGGTATCTGACAGAGACATGCCGCCAATCAACTCAATCCTCTCCTTTTGGGGTAGGTGCTAAGTCGTACTGTGGAGCTGAGTGTGGAGACCACAGCTCAAAGTCACCTGGCTGGTGGCCAATGAGGCCAGAGAGTAAATCCAAGAGGCTGGACTCTAAAACACAATATTTACCTCCCTCCACTCCCACCCAGGTTCCCATGTATGCTGACAAGGTCTCTGCCAGTGAGCAACAAGCCTAGCCCTTAGACCCATCTCTCAAGCACTAGGCTGCTCCATCTTCACAAGACTGCTTCCAGAGACTCTCCACATCAAAACTTAAGCCCCAGCACCCCTGAATCATAAATGTTCCTGACACCTCACACGCTCACACAGCCCTTACCAGCACAGCCGACACAACCACTGGCAAACAGGACCGCCCCACCCAACACAGCAGTAAGCCAGGTCTCCGGCCACTGTGTTCTTACCTATTGGACTGCCCTAAGTCTCGAGACCAGCCGAGCCTGGGGCCTGCGGTTGCCCTCGTCCCTCCTCTTTTGAATTCAGGCTCGGACATGTCATCTGGGTTGAATGTAGTTGACTGGCTTCTCCTGAGTCTGAAGACACAATGAACATGCTTATGCTACACCTGCAGAGGCCTCTGCTTTGATGATGAATCATAATATTTTGTATGTCTGAATTTAAATGTTAACCGAGGTCCAATGAGTTAATGAAGCCCAAATGAGTCTTCCTTCCACGAAGCCCTGGGATTTGGTGTCCATTGCCAGGCACTCTTCCCATCACCCCCTGCACTGGGCAACACAGGAGACAAGCAGCCCACCTCCCCTTTCTTCCACTTACTTCCCAAAGAGTCTCATGATTCCTCTGGACTTCTTTTTGGAATCTGGAGATGGTGGAGACACCTGGAAAGGACCGGTCCCCTGTGAACCTTTAGGACGAGATGTACCAGCCAAATCTAGGTGCTCAGTTGTCTCCTTTTCTGTCTCAGCTGTCCCAAGAATAGAATAAAGACCATGTGAACACAAGGAGACCTTAACCTTCTTGGTTTTAACCCCTTAAGAATTCTTCTTTGGGTCTAAAAACCAGTGATTTACACAGAGCACCCTTAACGTATGAAACATGTATGTAAGCGTATGTTCTCTACAACTTACTCTCCTCCACAAAGTAAATTATCTCAAAATCATCCCTTTGAGATAAAGAGCGTGTGGCAGAGCTGGGTGCGGTAGTGCACACATGTAAATCCACCACCCTGGAGGCCGACACAGGAGGACTGATTCTGAGACACTTGGGCTACAATGTGTGTCTCTCTTCAAAATAAAAAGTGTCTCAGAATTGTGACATTCTTGAGTGATATAAACTCGCGATGAGGTTATGCCTAATCTAGTGCGTGGCACAGCTAGGCTCCACAGCCTCTGACACCTCCGCTCCCTCTCCTGCCGTGATTCTCTCCCGGATCTGTGGTCTGGTCCTTCCTTCTTGGCTGTAACACCCATTTTCTATCCTTCCTACATTTTAGTTCCCACTCTCAGCAAGCTCACCTGCTCTAAGTCCAGCACTGAAGGATGGCTTTATTTCCATAGGCAGACGGCACCAAAACCTCTGAGCCTGACCTCACTTGTCATCCCTGTACCTGAAGGAAGACTATGCCGAGTCCCAATTTACTGTGCCAAGAACACACGGGACTTATCAAACCCATCAGTCTCCCTGAAAGTCTTCTCTCAAATTTTGACACTGAATTCAAATTCTGTGTCATTTCTTCTTAACACGCCTTCTCCTTTGCATTTAGAGGACTATCAACTCTTTAACAAGAAATGAATCAACAGTATGTGGTGCACACCCATTAAATCCCAGCCTTCAGGAGGCCAAGGCAAAAAGATCGCAAGCCCAAGGCCAGATCAGGCTGTAGTTGAGATCCTGTCTCAAGGGGGAAAAAACCCCTAGCCTATTATATATTGCATACTGAGAACAATGTAACTCGGTATGTGTGAGGTTTTCTTGAGGGGTAAAATCTGGATTTGGCTTTGAAAGAACAGCATCCACACTTGCCACATGCAGGGCAGAAGTTCTTTCAACTCTCCATTCCTGAAAGAACAGCCACAAGCAAAGACAGGGCTGTTGTTTTCCAGAATGTGAGCCTTTACATTTTATAAAGGGAAATAAAGACATTTGTTCAAGGAGGAAAATCAGGGAAAGGGTCTCAGAAGGATTTGCAGAAGCTGCAGAGATTGAATTTTCTATGAAGCAGAGCTGTGACTATAGGCTACAATAAGCAGCGCTGGTCTGCGGGCACCGACTGCCGTCCGAGAAGACACAGGAGCAGCTGAAAGCGGTTGTCCAGCTGCAGAGTTCAGCTTGTGCAGCCAGCGCTCCCAGTAAACACGTCAGGCTCCCAAGACAATGCCACTTTGCTAGGGCACGTGCACGGATACTTGCGTATCTATACAAGGTGACAGCCTCAGGGAGCCCCAGGAGGAATCCATCCACTCCCACTGCACAACCACAATGGGTATGGGTACCATAAAAATGTTCCTGGTCCAACTCACTTAAAATTCATCATACTTCATTTATTTATTTTGGGGGACTTTTTTCACACTACTCCCCATGGGGAGCCAGAACGAATGTCTTTTAAAAAAGCACTCTCATGGAGACTCCTCAGACACCATGGGAAATCACTAAATATCCCCAAGGTCAAAGCAATACAACATCCAGAATGTTGCTTCAAGAGCAGTAAGTCTGTTCCAGCCTGGCAATAGACATTCTTGGGGGGACGTTGGGAAAATGGACACATGGAGGAGGGACGAGAGTTGGTGGGTGATGGTTCAGTCACGGGTGAGGGGAGCTGAGGTGTAGGATGCCAGTTCATTCCAGGCCTGCCCTCTGCAGGCTGTTGGGCATTCCTGGGCTCTCAGAGCTGCCCCAGATGGTGTCAGAGCACTGGTTAGAACAGCATGTAGGCTCAGAAGCCAAGGCGCTACGGAGTCTGCTTTAGCCAAAGATGAAGGAATATTCTGGAAGAGACTACATTCTCTGATTGCGGCCAGCTTGCTTGATAGAGATCGCAGAGGCCAAGAGTGGGGATTAGACAGTTTGGGTGTAGTACTGGTGAGGCTGGCATGCAGGGGTACGGTACCTAAGGTGGGTGCACTGGCACTTCGTTTACGGTCTTCAGGTATCCCAACAACGCACACAACACACGCAGCCAATGGAGAGAACACAGGATGACAAAAATGGAACAGATCAGACTCCGCCCTCCAAGGCAACGCCCGTAGGAGGAATGTATGCACACACTAAGACTATAAAAACCACACAAGTCTGTCCCTGGGCACTCATTCATCCTACTACCAGAGTGGAGACTGTCCAAACAAAGTCACAGACCACCAAAGGGGTAGGACGATTCGTTCTGTTGTTTATGCCACTGGACACAGAGTGGGGTAAGAGCTGACTTATCGTCACACGCAAATTAAATCCACTGAAGCATTTTTGCCGACATCCCCCCTCCAAGGCATTCCCCTTCACTTCTGAGAAAGAGAGATGTACCCACAGAGGGACAAAGGATGGGTGGGACACCAAGCCTTTCTCTCCGTCCGGAAGGTCAGGCCCTGGGTTGCCCGTGCCACACATACCAAGGTTTGGTGCACTTGCTGTCCTCTTGTTACTTTTGATTTTAAAAAAGCCTCGGCCAAAGGAGGACCTGGCTTTTCGAGTGCCAAAGGGGTTGTCATCCACGGAGGCGTCATGTCCTGGAGCCTTGGGAGGCAGGGTCCCAAATGTGCGGCTGTCAGCTGGAGCTTTATCCTAAGGGGTGATGAGGAGGGAGCTGAGGGTCAGGGTGCAAATCCTGAGGACGGGCGCTGGACTCAATGTCACATCCCTGGGCAGACAACTGCAGTAGCGCCAATGGCCAATGCCAGTGACATACTTGTTAACGAAGCCTACGCAGTGAACAGCAACACAACGAACACGGCTAACTCCGTCTACAAGCAATACATTTATCACTTTAAATCTTTAAGACAGCTTTCAAAACAGTTAAGTTCTATCTGCCTCTTTCCTTCAAGACATGGAGTGAAGACACTCCACACCCAAGATAGTACGTATGTATACATAATGTATGTATGTCAGGAACACATGTTCACGTATACACGTGGAGGCTCCAGGCTGGGTGTCTTCTATTTCATTTTTCTAGTAATAATGATGCAGAGCTATAAATGAGTTTACATCCTTAAATCACCAGCACAGCAATAGATGCCTAAAGCAGGTCTACAAAGCAGGCAGTGCACACGCTTTCCTCCCAGCTATTTCACATTCTAAGAAGGTGAAGGCACACCCAGCAGCCGTTTGCTCGAGCTTTCCGACTCTGAGTCGGCCACTAAGCTCACGAGGAATGTCTCTCTGCTCTGGTACCACTGGGAGAGGCTTCTGGTTGGATTTCTTCTCTAACACCTCCTGCGTTCTGCTCTCCTTTTGCAGAGTGGGTGAAAGGGTCAAAGGGATGGCTGACTACATTAGCTGAACACCCGTGTGCACAATACAGTCACTATCTACACCCCAACACCAACACAGCCTCTGACCATGGATTGATCATGTATTGAAGAGAACCTGAGGAACAGCTGTCTCCACTGAGAGTTTTCCAGCCCCATCTCTAAGGACTCAGACACTCGGAGCTGACAGCCAGGACGGGAACTGGCCGTGCACCCTGTTGCGGTCCTTGATATGGTTCATGATGAGAACCCAGGGGAGCCCTGAAACACATGCTGCCAGCCTGTGTAGGGCGCCAAGCTTGCCCCCGTGGACGAGGGCTATATGAAACAAATGGGCGGCTCTTTGCAGGGCCTGGGGAAGGCAGCTGGTCACAAAGATGATCAAAGCACACAACTCTAACATCACAGGTTGGTTTTCAAATAACAGAGAGAGATTAACTTTTAAAAATATTTATTTATTTACTTATGTGTATGCATGCCTACGTGCATGTGTGGGGACACATGTGCCACAACACGTTTATGTAAAGGTCAGCGCACAACTTGTGGGAGTTATTCTTGCCTTCCACCATGAACACCCTGGGGATTAACCTAGGTCATGGGGCTTCACCTCTAGAGCCATCTCAGTTCCTCCGAATTAACTTTCTCTCTCTCTCTCTCTCTCTCTCTCTCTCTCTCTCTCTCTTACTAAAATGTTCATTTTATGTCTAAGTAATACTTAACCCTGGTCAGGGCTGCCTGGGTCTAGTCTGAGACCACAGCATACTGGCCTGCGCTTGCTCTATATGCAGGTGTTGCATGTCCATTTGTGAAGGATAATGTATGTATGTTGGGTACGCATGTTCACGTGTACATGTGGAGGCTCCAGGCTGGGTGTCTTCTATTTCTCGTCACCATATGTTCCGAGACAGAGTCTCTCGCTGAACCTGGAGCTCCCTGGATGACCAGACAAAGTGGCAAGTCCCAGGGATTCTCTTGTCCCCAGCATCTCGCAGCACTGGGAAGACGGTGGCATACAAGGCATGTGCTTCCGTGCCCAGCTTTGTATGTTGTTGCTGGGGTCTAAACTCTGCGGGGCCCTCACGCTTGCAGGGGACTACACACGCACTTTACCTGAGCCATCTCTCCAGTCCCTGAGAATAACTTTTCTTCAGACACAGTCTCACTCTGTACACCAGGCTGGCTTCAAACTCACAGAGATCCACCTGCCTCTGCTTCCAGGGTGCTCAGAGTATAAGTGTGTGCATCATACCTAGCTCAAACTTAATTTTAAAGAGGGCACTGAATCCCATGGGACTACAGTTATAAAAGGCCATGTGGGTACCGTTGTAAACAGTCATGTGGGTACCGTGAACTGAACTCAGGAACTCTGCAGAAGCAGCCAGTTGGTGCGGGAGAATTGTCTGTATTCTGTCAATCATGTATTTTAATAAAACGCTGATTGGCCAGACAGGAAATATAGGCAGGTCAACCAGACAGGAAGTAGAGGCGGGGCAATGAGAATAGGAGAAGGCTAGGGAGGAGGAAGCTCCCTCCGCCATTCCTGCCCAGATCACCGAAAAAGCAACATGTAAGCTGACAGCTGAAAAAGGTACCAAGCCGTATGGCTAACATAGATCAGAATAATGGGTTAAGATAAGTCATAAGAACTAATAAGTAGCCTGACCTAATGGGCCAATCAGCTTTATAACTTATAGAGATCTCTGTGTGATTGATTTTCTCTGGGATTTGCCGGCTGTGGGGTACGGGGCGGGACAGATACCTGAACAAGCCGGCCCTCATGTTACAGCCAGTGCTCTTAACCACTGAGCATCTCTCCAGCCTTCAAAATTAACTTTTTTCTTATTGTTGTTATTATTTGCTTATGAAGACAGGGTTTCTGTGCAGCCCTGGCTCTCCTGGAAACTAGCTCTGTAGACCAGGCTGCCTCAAACTCAGAGGTCCCCCTGCCTCTGCCTCCTAAATGCTGGGGATTAAAGGCGTGCGCCACCATCTGGCTAAAATTAACTTTTAAAAGTAAATAACTCTGTGGCATTTAGCCCTTCTCTGAGTCATAACCACACCCATCTAGCTCTGAAACACTGCCACCATCCTCAAGCCAATGGCCCTCCGCTTCTCCTTATTCTACCCCTTTCCCCATTACAACCAGCGCCCTGCGGCCTTCTCTGCAGACACACGCACGCTGCTCTACACTTCATAGAAATCCAGGCACATGCATGCACATGACCTCCCTCGCTGGCGTCTGCACCTAGCATGATGCTCTGGAGGTGCTAACAGACTCGATCTCCTGGAGTGGGGACATTTAACTTAACATGCCATAAAATTTAATAGATTTTTTTTTATACTTGAACTCAGATATAAAAATTACCTCTGAAGGCTTCTGGATAGACTCCTTTTCCTGTTCAAAAACAATGACATTTAAGAAGGCTCCTGTAAAATCCTTTATACATTCAATTGTTATTACACTTCCATAAATAGGAAACCACAAAATCTTAGTTGTATTTATTTCCTACAATGTTTTATTTTCTCAACCTTTCATCTGTGTACTTTCAATCTTCTCACTTCACCCTTGAAATATGTCATCAACTGTACCATGGCAGTAATTTCCCATCAGAGAAAACAAGGGCTCTTCCTAAAATGAAATTTTCCCAGCACAAATAAAGATCCATCCCTCAGTATTTTCTTCTCAGGTTAACAAGGGAAAGGGGGCAGGAAAAAAAAAAAAGAAAAGAAAAAGAAAACTCACCAAGACATCTGATGTCTCTCCCTTAAGGTTTCCCAGGCTGCTGGATTTTTGCAGACTTGAAGTTCTAACAACAGAAACAATGAGAATCAGAATTACTAGTAAGTTGACTCTGGTGCCTGTGTCGAAGCAGACCATCCCAGAAGGAACTAAAAACTGTCTGGGAGTTGAATCTTGGTAATAAAAGAGAATCTGGATCCAAGCAAACACTTATGTACTTAAGTCAATTGCAGCATTTAGTTCCTCTAAAAGCAGGGTGGTTAACTGTCTTGCCAGTAACACAAACTGTGCCACACATGTCCCGGGAGCTGCAAAAGCACTTAAGACGGCCCTGGCAATATCAGTGTTTTCCATGGACTGGTGGCACTTACGCATTTACACCAGGAACTTCTCAGAAGCTTGTGCACCGTTAGATCTAATCCTTCCACTTGAAGAACGAAAGTCTACTTTTCTTTCAAAGAGGAATAACTTTCCTGGGTCTGGAAAGCTTACTAAAACCAGGATTTGTGGGGCACGGCTGGAATTCCAGTACTCAAGAGGCTGGGGCAGGATTGGTGGATGTGTGAAACAGCCTGGGCTATCAAGACAAAGCCTGTCTCCAAGAATGAGAATAAAGAAGGAAGGAAGGAAAAATAAAGAGAGGACGAGAGGGGGAGGGAGAAGCAAGGGAAAAAGGAAGGAAAATGCCCTAGACCAGTGGTTCTCAACCTTCCTATCGCTGCAACCCTTTCATACAGTTCCTCAGGCTGTGGTGACCCCAACCATAAAGTTATTTTTGTTGCTACTTCATAACTGTAATTTTGTTACAGTTATGAATCGTAATGTAAGTATTTGTGTTTTCTGGTAGTCTTAGGTGATCTCTGACCCGTGGGGGTTGCAACCCACAGGTGGAGAACCACTGCACTAGGGAAATTGTTGTTATTGCCCACAGTGATGCATCTGCTAGTCGACGAAGGCAGCAGGAGTCTGTAAGTCAGAGACTTTCTCTTCACATAATCAGTGCCCAGTTACGCACAGCCAGAGAAGGTCTGACTCAAGCCTAAATGTACAAATATGGAGTCAGTTTTCAAAGATGAGGGACTAGGGGTGTTCCTCAGTGTCAGTGTGTGCTGGGCACGTGAGAGGTCCAGGGCCTGATCCCGAGCAACACAAGATAAAAAGCAAGGCAGAGCAGAGAAAGAGACTGAAGAAGGAATGTGTTTACTCCAAGAAACTGGAACAACTGTGCGGCCTAACTTTTAAAAGGCATTTCTGTTTTTATGAAAGTTGTCAAGAGTGCTCGCCGCCAAAGCACGTGAAAGATGGCAGAGAAACAGAAAGATCTCTTTCGAGCTCTGCCCTGAAAATAGGCTTTCCAGGTTGTTTGGGGCTTTCCTAAGCTGACCCAGGCTTTCACTGGATAAACGCGCACAGCGGGCCAGATTACGGAACTCTGAGTGCAGACAGCAGCTCCGCCAGCTGTCACATTCTCTGGGAGCCTTTTCTATTAGGAGTAAAAATATACAAATCAGCACAAAAATAAATGAAAAGTCCTGAACCTCAAAGGAAAACTGATGAGGAAAGACGAAAGATCTGCAAAGGCCGGGCACGAGATGCCAGGAAAAGGGCGTTTCTCTGTAGCACCAGCTCTCCAGCCCTGCCTCTCATGACACACGCAGACTTGGACTCATGAGTGTGGCAGCCTCGGCGGATCATTGCTAGTAACGGTCGACAACACGCAACTTACGAAAGACTGTCGCACGGCGTGGCTTCCGCGGCTGCACCCAGGATCGGTTTTCCATCACTACAATACATTTTTAAAAAAGGCATTTCTTAATGTCATGAATCGAAAACCACACGGACATCCCTGGGCTTACAATGGTGAAGTTCCAAAGGGCCCATCGGAGGCTGAACTCACTGTTACGTCAAAAGTGCCTAAAAGTTACCAAAAACACAGCATAGCCTCTCCTACCTCGGTCATACTTACAGGGCCCCACTGGCCTATGGCTGGGCAAAATCTCTCTCACAACGTCTACTTTAGAAGGGTGAGCTGACTACCTCCTACCTATCATAAACTATAGCAAAACTAAAACACAGCAACACTATAAAGTCAAAGAAAAATCACAGGTCATGCCATCACAGGAGGGACCTGTATGGACCTCTTCTAAGTGAACAGAGATGTAAAAATAACAATAAATAATAGTGAAAAAAAGCTATTTCTCATTTTTAATCATTTTCTTAAACCTAAGTCAAATTTAGGCAACTAGTTTGAGAATTTTCTGGTAAAATTATCTATTTGTCTACTGAAACATCGTTATAGCTGCGCTTCAAACAGCCTCACGGCACCTACGGCACCAGCGGCACCTACGGCACCAACGGCACCTACGGCACCAGCGGCACCTACGGCACCAACGGCATCAACGGCATCAACGGCACCAACGGCACCAACGGCACCTGCTCTGCAAGCCCAAGTTCCAGCCTCATTCCCTCAACCTCCCGCCGCTTCCTGACTCACGCATTTTATCTCAAGATTACAAAACCGATGATGAAAACAGAGCCTGAAGTGAGTGTGAGATGCTCTCACGTCTGGTTACTCTACTTATGTGAACATTTATATCACAGTGTTAGTCCATACGTTGCATACTTCTCTTCAAGTGAAGTCTCAGGCTTCACAGGCAACTTGGACTTTTCAGAGGTTTCCACACCCAGGGACGGTGGCAGTAGTGGAGGGACGGAAGCTTGCAAGACGCTGGTGTGAAACTGGAAGATTGTAAGGAAAAGGGGAATCAACCCAACAAGACAACACAAGCCACAGAGTAACAAAACGTAACAGAGCTGGTCTGTCCAAATCATATGCACCCCTGCTTACAACTGCAGCCTTATAGTCATGATTATTTCAGAATACAAACATGGGTACAAATGAGGAGTCACTGAGGAAACACTGTGGAGAAAGGGGTTTCATTTGGTTCCAGGACAGTGAATATCCTGAGTAAGAAATTATCTTAAAACACAAAAAGTCCTGAGTTCCAACCCCAGTGAAAGTCCAGGAAAGCCAGCCCCAAGGCGCTGACTCTTCTCAGCGTGAACACACTGTAAACAAAACACTATTTCCATATTTATTTCTGCTAGCAGCCTGACACATAACATGCATTATGCTGGTTAATTACTCTTTCCTATGTGATCAAGCTGACTAAGCTCAACTATCATAACTGATGGAAAAAACATAAAATCCCCTGGAATATACTCCTGTGCTTACCAGTTAAAATGTAGTAACATCAACAGTGTGCAAATAATAAAATGTGGAGCCTGTTTTCTTAAACACCTCTGGGTCCTAGGGCTGCAGACTTCGGTAAAGTCCGAGAACTGGAGATCAGACGCGGTGGGCATCAGGAGCTCACAAGGAGTCAGCCAATCTGTGGTCTCCTCCTTTAACTGTAATGCTGGTCTACCACATGCCCAGTGTTTCTTCACCGAGCTATATGCCCAGCAGAGTTCTTAACGTCTTTCCTCTCTCTTTAATTTTTATTAATAATTTTGTAAAATTAAAATATTACATTTATTAGTAATTTTGTAAAATTAAAATAATAGATTGTAAAATCATAATATTTCCCCCTTCCCTTTCCTACCAACTCCCATGTACTTTCCTTTATTCCCATTCTCTCCCTCCCTCTCTATCTCTCTCTCTCCATGACCTCTTTGTCTAACTCTATTTTTGATCAGGGTCTTCTGATCGCCTGGCCATGAGCTCAGCCCCATAAACTACAGGTGTGCATTGTGCACGCCGGACAAACATCTACAGCAACCACTCAGCAAGTTTCACCCGAGTCACACACTCCCACAGGCAACCACGCCTGCCTCTGAGCCCAAGGGAGGTAAGATGGACTTGCGTGTGCTTAGCCAGCAAAGCTCAGCTTCATGAAGAAGCAGTGAACTCTGCCCTGTGAGTTTTGTCTAGTACTGCGTGATGGCGTCATGAAAGTTCAGAAAACATCCAGTCAGATTACTGTAAAGTAGGGCTCTTTTCTATTTTGTTTTATTTTCCCAGTTTGGTTTTGGTTTCAATCTTTACAGTCGATGCTGGGTAATCTCTTTAGCACTCATCCCTGCTTCCTGAAGTTCAGCTATTGCCCTGGACTCCTGATCATGGGAAAATACACTAACACACTGGCCTCTTCCCTTGATTCCTTTTTCAAACTTCAAGGTTTCAATTCCAACTTAAACTTTCCCTCCTGGCTTTTCTTTGAAAATAAGGTTGAATTCTATCAATTCTCACCACATCACTTTTGTTCAGTTTGGAGCAATCGTCTAAAACAAACGAAACATCCTTAACCTGAGATTTGCGAGGGCTGGAGAGATGGCTCAATAGCATTGGCTGCTCTTCCAGGGAGCCCAGCCTGTTAACTCCAGGGGATCTGGTGCCCTCTTCTGACCACTTTGGAAACTGTATGCATGCAGTGTGCATACATGTATATTTGAGCAAAACATACATACAAAGTAAACAGAAGCAAACCTTTAAGCTGAGGCTTATGTGGCAAATCATCTATAGAATAATCTGGCATATGCTACATATATGAGCAATCCCTCAGTAAATGCACCACATCACTGGCTAGCAATGGTTTTTTGGCTTTTGGAAAGCTGAGGCAGGAGGATCACTATTGCTGACCTGGGCAACGAAGTGAACCTGTTTCAGAATAAAACACAGAGGTTTTTTGTTTGTTTGTTTGTTTTTTGTTTTGTTTCCCCCCTCTAAATATAAATACAGTTAACAAGCAGGGAGCTTCTTCCCGCATCTTATTTCATAACTAAAATCTTGGCTGATGAAGAGCTGCTTCGGTGCTCGCTAACATTTGAGTGTGCAACGTTAGCTGTTTTCTCTTTGAATTAATTTTCATCCAATTCAGTTTTTACTTTCTCAGGACCAGTGGTGTAGAACTCAGGGCAGAGCAGTGGCCAAGCACACACAAGACCTCAGGCTCCAGGCCAGAGCTGCAGCGCGTGTGTGTGTGTGTGTGTGTGTGTGTGTGTGTGTGTGAGACTAGGAAGAGAGATCCACTGCTGAAGAACACTACCTTTTCATTATGGGATCTTCAATGACAGATTTGAGAGAAGGAAGCAAGAGAGGAGAGCTGGTGAACAGAAGGAACCGTGGCATGCTTGAGGTGAATGAGATGGTCCCAGAGTGTGACGTGACCTCAGGACAAAGGTCACCTGCACTGGGGAATCCTGGGACAGGCGCTGGCTGGTCCTCCCAGACTCTATGGAGGAGCAGCATGCCCAGTGGCCCTGCAGGGAGCCTGGGCCCTGAGGGGCAGTACGGGATGCTCAGACAAGCCTCTAAGGTAGTGGTCTGGAGGGCTCTGAGCAGATTCTGATTGTTGGAGTCATGAAGCAAATCAGGCTCAAATGGGCAAGCACAGCAGGAATGAAGGTGGCATTGGACCACAGTGGCACTTTACGAAGCTGAGACAACATTCGAGGTAACGAAACTGTCACCGGGAAAGCAGAAAAGACACAGCCCCCTCGATACAAACAAAGTCAGAATCCCGACGGTACCTCTTCTGGAGCGCTTGTGTTGAACAGGTCCCTGCTGGGAGACCCCATTCCCGGCGTAGAAGAGGTACTTCTCTCCAAGTCACTGAAGCCCTGAGCATCCAACAGGGTGGAGATGGAGCTGGAGTGGAACAGACCGTCACACTCACCGTCCTGGCCTGGAAAAGACGAAGCAGACGATGCTCACGTTCACTGTGGAGGAAGAACTGTGATCACGCATTCCTTCTCTCTCTTTATCTTGAACACATGCTGTCTCAGTCCAAACCGTAAACAAAGAGTCACGGCTCCTGGCATCGTATGAAGATCAGCTTAACGGAACCTAGGATACAGCATCTTAAACTATACACAGCTAAGGCAGTGCCAGGCCACACTGAGCACCCAGCGGTGACATTAATAAAAGAAGTCAGGTTTGACACAATATTGACACAAAAGATGTTTTTAAAAAAAATCTAAGCTTATTCCAAAAACTCACTGTAATTTTGTTTTAAGATTTCCAGGCTTTATAAACATTAGTTTAGCCTGCTTTGGTTACTTGTACTTTTAATCTTGGCATTCAGAACCAAAAATGAAGATCATCCTTGAATACATAACAAGTTCAAGGCCAGTCTGAGCTACAAGAGACCCTACCTCAAAAAATGTCAAATAGATCAATAGATCTATTTACCTACCCACCTATCTACCCATCATCTACCTACTAACCTGTCTACTCTACGGACCTACCTACCTATGATCTACCTACTAACCTGTCTACTCTATCTACCTACTCACCTACCGATCATCTATCTACTTACCTGTCTACTCTGTGTACCTACTCACCCACCTACATTTCTTTCTACCCCAGCATGACCATCTGATTCTGGGCTACAACAGAGCCACCATTTAAATGCATTCCTTCTCAACACTGCTGTACTCTGAAAAATACACGAAAAAGAGAAAGGATAGAAGAAAAAGAAAAATGACAGCTGATCCTTCAAAAGGATCTTTTTATGCCATTTTAAAGTAGGAAGAGTCTAACAGAAGAAAGAAACCACATATCCATCAAAGAACTAAGTTTGAAAAATTTTTACCATCAGTCAAGATGTAAAGGATTAACTAACTATACAACACAATAGTAGGTGGTCACTTTCTTAAAAAACAGTATGATATTGAAAGCTCTAACTTCTAACGGCAAATGGCAAACTCTATACTTATCTAAACACGCTGTAACTTCTCTTCTCTTATTTTTTATAAGAGTTTGTTTTGGTATAACATAGTCCAGGCTAGCATCAAGGACAAGGTCATCTTGATTCAGCCTCTCAAGTGCTTAGACTACAGGCATGCCCAACTAAGATTTATTTTATTTTTATTTATGAGTATGTGTGTATGTATGCCATGTGTGTGCGTGTGTTCACAGAGGCCAGAAGAGGGTGTTGGATGCTTTGGGACTGGAGTTGGAGGTGGTCATGGGCTGCCAGAGTGGACGCTGAGAGCCAAACTCCACTCCCCTGCAAGAGCAACAAATGCTCTTAATCACTGAACAATCTTTCCAACCCCACCAAAACTTTTAAATCGGGGTTTTACTATAATTTTACCTTAACTTTACTAGATTTTAAATGCTCTTTAGAGTTTTGTGAGGAGTAACTAAATAAATACGTCTTAGGGAGGAATCGCTTTTATGTTCTTCTTCTCCATACCAGGGAATGATTTTTATGACTTGTGAAAACCTATCCTGTTATATCTGATTTCAAACTACTACATGGGGCTGGAAAGGCTCAGTCAGTCAACTGCCTGCCACATGAGCCGGAGGACCCAAGTTCAGATTGCCAGCGCCCACACAAACACCAGGCATGACCTGGAGAGGCGGCCCAGAGGTCAAGAGCTCATGGTGATCATGAAGAAGACCAGGATTTGGTTTCCAGGCCCTACACTGGGCAGTCACAACTGCCTGTAACTCCAGCTCCAGGGATCTGATGTCTTCTTCTGACCTCCCCAGGCACTGGCACGCAGGTGGCATGAACACACCCACACATATACACATAAATAAATAAGTCTTTAAAAGCCAGGTGTGTGGTCTGCAGCCTTAGAGACAAATGTGGCATACACCATCCACACACATACACATAAATAAAAACAAAATAGGTCTTTACAAACCAGGCATGGTGGTCTTCAGCCTTAGAAGTAGGGATGTAGAAAGGCAATCTCTGGAGCTCACTGACCAACCAAGCTAGTCTGTCCATGAACTCCGGTGTCAACGAGAAACCCTGTCTCAGGGAGGGGCTAGGGATACAGTTGAGTGGGAGCTGGGACTTGCTGCTGTACCGGAGGACCTGCTTTCGGTCATGGTGTTAGGCAGAGCAAAAGAAAACTTACCTAAAATATCTCTCAAGAGATATGTTCTCAGTGCTTGTCACCTTTAGGGTGACAACTGCCCACATGTTCACAGTAAACAAACACTAACATTCTGTTTGTGTCAAACGACCCTCAGTCTTTCCACGAGGTAAGGCAACAGAACTCCTGTGTCCAAAGAGGAATTCACATCCCTTGGCCTGCGTAAATAGCACCACCACTTACCTGGTGCCTTTAGCCACAAGTGTCTGCCTCTGCTGACTTATTTTCCTTAGCTTCATGTCCATCACCTAACTCAATGGATCAGGTCAATTCAGACCCACTAGGTCTCCGCAGTTACAAGAACTGCGAGCGTCTTTTGATTGACTTCCCCTGCTTGCAGTAGTGGCATTCCTCTTAACTCTTTCTGGCGAAGGTCACGTTGCAAACTTTTTATTCAGCCCCTTGTCCCAGGCTGGGAGTGTAGCTCAGTGGTAAAACACTTGCCTAGCGTGTGCTAGGCCCTACGTTCAAGCTCTTGGAGCAACAAAACAAAACAAACCCTACTGGATTCTCTGCACTTGTTTAAGAACAGATGTCCAGCCCAGCCCCACTGAGATCCTTCTCACGTCATAACCACACCCTCCCCCATTCAGAACTTTCCAGATATAACCCAAGGCTCTTTGCGCATACTACAGATCTTTGATAGAGATAATCTCACGGACACACAAATCTGCAAAATACTCCTCGGCCTGAGTGTTTCTCAGCATTACTGTCCATAAATAGATGAGCCACCCAATCTGGGAAAATGCATGCGAACTATATAAGAAACTGAGCCCAAATATGTAAGCTCATGGCTGGTTAAGTTTAAGTGGAGTAGGAAGGTTTCCAGAGATGCATTTTGCTTTCTTACCTTGGGCCAGAACTGCTGGGTCCTGCATTTTCTTGTACCTGTTCAGGCACTGCCGGAGATCCTCTATTCTCCGATCCTGTGGAGAACGTAAGCCATCACCACCACTACAGTTTCAAACAGTAACGGTAAGCGCTGCGAATTGTTTACATTATTTGAACATTTCCTAAGGTATAGTAAAAGTGGCAAGATCTGCATTTTTCCTATGTGTATCAAAGACATCGAAACAGCACCTCTGATCTTACAGATCCAATGTGCCATCATTAAAAACAAAACTGATGTAACAGCATTTAACAACAACAACAACAAAACCAAGGACCAGTGAGATGGCTCAGTGTGGGAAGACCCAACACGGGGCCCAATGGCTTGTGCTTGATCCCAGTGGATAAAATTCCAGAGTTCAGATCCCCAGCATCAACGTAAAGCCAGGTATGGCAACTGTTACCCCAGCAATTCAGGGAGAAAGACAGTTAGAACTGGGTTCCCAGAGCCTGCTGCCAGCCAGTCTAGCTCAGTCAGCAAGCTACGGGGTCTCCGACTGTCTCAAAAAGTAAGATAAAGAGCAAATAAGAAGACACTTTAAGTTGGCCTGACATCGACTTTTGTATGCACGTGCGTGCGCAAGTGCACACACACCCAGACACAGGGACAGAGAGACAGAGAGAGAGGATGGGAGAAGGAGAGAAGGAGAGAGAGAGAGAGAATGAAGATGAGAGGAAGCAGCAAAGACGTGAAGGAGTAACAGGCATTGGAGAAAGTTGTGATGAGAAAGAACCATCTCTTGGGCATTTTGTAATTCTGTACTCCTTGGAATTAGTCCTTTCTGGGAAATGACCCTTTGTTCCAGTCACTAAGTGACACAGGAAAGAGTGGTCCTGATGTTATAAGCTGAATCCAGTGGTTGCTAAGCAGCCAAGATCTGCCAGGTCAGGTCTGTGTTGTAGCAGACACCACAAGTCAAACCTGTGTGAGGCAAACAGACCACAGCAAAGAGCCCTAGCGACAAGGGCAGGGACCAAGGATGCTCCACAGGCCTGGCCCATGTCCTGTTGGTTCACCTCTCGGGAAAGCAAGGCCGTTCCTGGGGTGAGAGGTGGGGAGTGACATAAGTCCACTTTCACGGCAGTGCTAACATCGTCTCTCTCCGGGGCTGTGTGAGCCTCGGGTGAAGCTGGAGCTCCATCCTTCAGAGGTCACGCTAGCCCGGAATTTTCAGAACATTCTCTGGGATGTACTCCTCTCATCTGAATAGAAAGAACTCTGACGGTCTCGATAGTTTCTAAAGCCAAACAGGGAAGGAGGGGATCAAGATCTCTTTGGAGCCCAGGCTGCTGGCCTCTCTCTATTCTGTACACAGACACATCACAAGTGACACGGCTGAAACAGTACACAAGCAGGGGGAGACAAAGAAGGTCCCTTAACGTCAGTGGAACCGTGTGTCCTGTCCAGCTGGAGTGGCTAAGGAACTGTGTGGAACAGTCAAAGCGGTGCCGCACTGCATACACGAACAAGCGCACACACGAACAAGCGCACACACGAACAGTGATACTTAGGTTCACTCGGTACCTTTTCCTCATTTGCTGCCATCAGGGACTCCACTGCCTTTTTCATTTTTTGCACTTCAATATCTGAAAATGACGTAACATTGTTAGGAGGCATTTCAGCTAACCTGTGCGGGAAGTCACGTGCTCTTCTGTCTGAACGTCTCAAGGTAAGCATGGCAATGATTCTCTCTTAGGGGTGATAAAGGGGGAGCACTTTTGACCTCACCCCACAGCTGTCACCCCAGAAAAACAGCAATGTGGGCCGGGGACGGGGAGACGCCCTCTCTTGGAGAAAGAACACAGCCTCCCTTTACACCCTGAGGATGGAATGTGGGAGCGGCAGCAATGACAGCGACAAGTTCTCGAAAACGTTAGCCATGGGTGGGCAGTGAGTGAGAGTGGACGGATTTCATAATGACCAGGGCGGAGGAACGGGGCTCGGTCATGACCAAGCTGGAGACGCCACGGTAAGAGCCTGAGCGGTGTGTTTACGTGAGCGGTCATGCTGAGAAGCCAGCTGCGGTTCCACAGAAGGAAGAGTGACTTGCTTCATCTACTAGCCCCATTTCTAACGCTGTTCTAAAACAGAGAGCAAGACCCAACAGCCACGGTGTGCAGAAAGTGACTTTCCTGAAAATACAAACACAAGTGTTGCTTGAAAAATGAAAACTTAAAAGTACTTTTAATAAAAATGGACATTTAACCCCAAAGTGAACCTACAATTAAAATACAGAAACGGGAAAACATTCGGCTAAACATTCTTCTCATGGGGGAGAGGAGAGTCTAGTCTGTACCAATACATCTTCAGTTAGGAATGGCTGCGGTTTGTTTTCCATTTGTTGTTTGTTTTAAAGCAGGTTCCCTTAATCTATTAATTCACTCCCTGTTGCCAACTTAAGGATTTTTTTTTTTTTATGTGTCACTAGATAGCCCAGGCGCCACAAAGCTCCGGTGTGGGCCTCAGCTAAACCACGAGCTTCCAAACAGACAAAGCAAAGCTCACCACAAGCCCGTGCTGTGGTGACAGAGCTGAGTCTCCCCTGGTGTGTGCTGTCTTGTCTTCTGCACCTCTGTCACACACACCACAGAGAGCACACTTCCTGAGCTCACTCCTCTGTGCGTCCTGTTGCACTCTGGGAAGCGAACGGGCTGCAGGGAAAACCCATGACGTGACCTGCCCTCCTTATTTTACGGTCTGTCTGTCTAGCCTCTACTTTGCACACCGTAAAGAAATGGGGGCTCGTTGATGAAGCAGCTGCAGATGTTTACGGACAGAAATGTTCTCAACATGCAAAGAATGGGTGGCGCTGCTGGCTAACGATAGGCTGATGGAGAGACACCGAAAACCTTACTTTTCTCCTTGAGCTTCCTTTTAACATTTTCATCTGCACAGGGAAAACCCATTGGATTCGAAGTTAGCACACATTGCAACAAAAACTCTACCTTAAAGTCCTATCATTTGGCTTCCTTTTACCTAAATGCTGGAAATCTAACCTGCAAAGGAACCCAGGGTATGAGGCACTACCGCATGACTTGGGGACTGGCAGCGCGGACCACACAGGAGGCGCAGTGCTGGGCCTCAGGAGGAACGGCTGTGAGGTCAGTTAAGTTGCTGTCTCTGAGCTTCAGCTTTCTGTGTGAAAGTCAGGCCCACAGGGCCAGCCAACCGTGGTGTGGACTGGCCAGTGCCATTCTGGTAGATCTTCCCAAATGCTAGTCTGACACCTGACTCTGCAGCAGCCAACGGAGCACTCAAGTCCCCTGCCAGGAGACAGCACCACTGATGTCATGGTGTCTGTCAGGAGGTTTCCAGACCCTGAACTTAGCTGGTCCTGAAGTGGCAGACAGCAGGCAGTTCAGACCAGTTCCAACCCCCATTTCTATGTGGACAGCGCTCTCCAAACATATCCCCAGTCCACATGCACTCACTCAGGGTCCATTCTAGTCAGAAACGCTACATGCGGGACTACCACCATGGGTCAGTGGTACAGCATGGGATTAGCAGATCCAATCCTAAAATCGGGGTCTATTTCTGAATGTCCTATAACATGATTTTACTTACGTTGAAACCCGGGAAGGAAAACCCACGTCTAAGGCTTGAGAAATTGAGTTTCTGATGGCTAAGGAAATGGATATAAAATGCTACTTATTTCTACAGCATCCACCAGCTGGGGTCTGGCTGTCCAAATGAGTGGATACCGCTCTCCTGTCCAGCATCATGGCTGTCACTGGACATATTTATGTATGCGTACATGTATCAAAGGGAAAGTAACATCTAATCTAGTATTCCAGATATTATACATATTTCAAGAGTAAAAAAAAAACCCACAAATCGGGGTCTCCCTGTGTCATGCAGGCTGGTGCCCAACTATGATCCTTCTGCTTCAGTACCCACGAGCTGGGGCAGCAGCTGTGTGCCACTCCACTGGACCCAAAATGTAAGTTTTTGAAAACACATGTCGCTGGGGCTGTTTTTCTGTTGTCCACCGCCAGCTCCTCTCCTGTAGCTCACAGGACCTTAACAGAGCAAGGAATCAAGCGCTAGACCGCCAGTCTCACCTCGATCGAGGACGTCCACCCCTTCTCCTTTGGTCTTGCACACCAGTCTCTCCTGCAGTCTTTTGACTTCACAATCCTTATCTTCTAGTTGCTCTTTTAAAGAGGTCAGCTCATCCTGCAAAGTTACAGACTCATTTTAATACAGTAGACTGTGGCGGAGGAGGAGTGTCTATAGAGCATACTGGCCCTTAGAGTCAACTCAACTCTGCAAGACTTACACGTGGACACAAATCAGACAGAGGCAATGACAAGCACTATTAATATCACTAATCTGTAATCATGATGGTGTCATTGTTTCAGGTTTGTGAGCAAGTGTAAGAAGAAACGGAAGCATAGTCAGGACAGGGTAGTCCCTAAAGTTGGCCTACATTAAATCAGAAAGTCTCGCCAAGTTAGTCAAAGGAGATGGCCAATGTTAGTCACTTATCATAAAAGCAAAATAAAATACAAATTCAAAAAAGCTTGCTTGGCTTCTTCAAGCATTTCAAGGTGACTCATGATTCTGGGATAACCAGTGGGCTTTTCAGTAGCCAAGGGGAAGCAATTCGGGGGTGGCTGTGACCAAACCGTGGACTAGGTCACTGAGAAAGACAGACTCCTGCAGCAACGGGAAAGGGAAATCTAGAAAAAGAAGATTGGGGTCTTCCTTCTGAAATGGGGGACCTGCAAAAGCTTCTGAGGCCACTGATGTATTCGTTAACATTTTAAATTTCAGCTTTGCTTTAGAAAGTTCTAGCCGTAGCAAATTTGTACTTTGCAGGCTGCATCTGAGGCGGAAACTAGCTGTGCCATGACAGCATGCCCGCCTCTTGTTCAGTGTGGTGTCTGCCCTCAGACTCTTCCTTCAGCTATCTGGACACGCAGTGTTGAAAATCCACCCAGAAGGCCAATGTGGCCCTGACTTATGGCAAGGATGGAGTCAAGTTCAGAAACCTTCACAGCCCTGCAGGAGGTGCCGACCCCTCTCCCTGCAAGACTTCTCTTCCCCTTCACAATGAGGACCTCATACACACTGACCTTCCAGAAAACCCTAACAGAGGAGAGCAGGCTCCGGTTATTGAAATGAATTCTTCCCTAGGTTAACTTCTAACAACTGTTTAATTATGCTTAGGGCCCAGACAGTCTAAGAAATAAGCTTATACGCTAATACTGTTATTTTTTTATCTGCTCACTACGGACATTAGCGATCTCGTTGTCTTTTTAGTCAGGGTGTATACAGTCTCAAAAAACAGGTGACACGCACACGTATGCACACACACACGCACACGCACATACACACACATATGCAAACACACACACACACACACACACACACACACAATGAATGTGCATGCTGCTAAAAACACCACCACGGCAAAACGACACAAGCCAAGGGGCACAGCCACGGCTCCCAGCGTCTACTCCACCTTCAGGGACTCCCACTTCTGCTCCATCCGCTGCTTTTCATACTGCATCTGACCCACCTTGATTTTCATGCTAGAGAGTTTGGCCATTAAAGACTGGTAGAGAGACAGAGGAGAGAAAGCAAGGCAGAAAAAGACAGGCTAAATAACCGAGAAAACAGCAGCGGTTCATAAAGAAGGTTAGCTACAGAGACAGTAGGCCACGTCCCGTCCGGCTAATCAAGCCTTGTTTGGGTTTTACTGAGAACGCTAGCGTGTGAGCTCGGTGTCTCCGGCCTCGGGGAAACGCTGCGTACTTGTATGATGTGTTTGTTACCGTGTACTAGTTGGAAAATACTTTTTTATAATATTGTTCACAGAATGGTAGACCATGCTTAAAACTTATTTTTCCCCCGAGAGAACTTACTTTAGTTGACTTGAGTTTTTTCTCAGACTGAAGTCTTTCACTGTCCAGTTCACTGACTTTTAACCTCAAATCATTGATCTCTTGGATTAGCCCCTGTCCGAAAAGAAAAAAATAACAATATAATTAGAAAAGGGCAAAGCACCGATAGCAAAGGAGTCGCCAGGAGGCCCTAACCAGCAGCAGCTCCTCGAGGACGAGCTGTGAGAACCAGTCCTAACGAGGGGGCATCCCGCGAAATTTACCCGACTGCCAAACCACGCATCTGCTAAAACACTAACCTAAGCTTCCAGGACCTCTGCCCCTAGTGCTGGGCCGATGGAAACTAAATGCAGCCACGATTCTGACTAGGAAAACGCTGGGGCTGGAATCCCTGGACCAGGTGCCCAGCGCGGTGCTGGAAGGTACGGACTGCAGGGTAAAGGGTAAGGGGATTGTGGGACCCTGGCGCCTTCCCCTTTTCTGCTTCCTGGTCATGAGGTAAGTGGTTTTCCCTGCCATGCACTCCATGACAATGTGCTGCTTTAACATTGTCTCACAAGTAACGGGGCCCACTTGTCGTGGACTAAACGCTTCAAAACTGCGGGCTAAAACAGACTCTTTATAACCTGTCGTGAGTATCTGTCACAGGGACGTGCCTGAGTTTCCGTTCTGCTGCTATGAGAAAATGCTCTGACCAAGAGGGTTTCTTGGGCTTACACTTCCAGGTCACAGTTCACCACTGGGGAAACTGCGGGTGGGAAGTCAAGTCTGGGACCTGGAGGCAGGAGCCAGATGAATGCTGCTCGCTGGCTCCTTCACTGGCCCGCTCGCCTATCTTCCTTATACAGCCCAGGAGATGAAGGCCCCACAGTGGGCAGGGCCTGTCTAAACCAATTAAGTCAAGCAAGACAATTCCTCACAGGCACGTCCGCAGAACAACATGACAGAGACAAATGGCTGACTGGGGCTGTGACTAGTGATTCTAGTTGGTGCTGACTAGGACATGATGGAAATGGGACCAACTCACAAGGACAGTCTAACATCCGACCCAAAGCCACGCAGCACCCATTCTGTATTCAGACTATCTATGGACCCCACCCTGCCACATGAACTAGAGGTGTTCTCTGGCACAGCCATTTAACCCTTTTCTGTGACACATTGGTAGTTACTTGAAGATTTCCTCTAACTGTCTGCCTAGTCTACAAAAATAAAGTCTCAAATTTCTTTAAACTAAGACTCTCAACCTGAAGATGTATGAAAGCCTTGTGTGTGTGTGTGTGTGTACACGTGTGTGCTCATATATTCATATATCCAATACAATACAATTTTATATGTGCAAAACTTTAAAAATCCAAATGTTTCTTAACAATATATTTAACACCATTTCTACTGTCACTTTAAAAATGTGCTTTCAAAATTTGCCCAAATAATCTGAATTTGGATTTAAAAATAGTCAGTTTCCCTTATTTGCTCGTCTTCCCCGCACAGAATTCAGGAGTGGCCCTCCTCCCCTTGTTCTTTAGACTCAGTCACTGTCAGCAGGCACTGCTGGGAACACTGCTGTGAGCACTGCTGGGAGCACTGCTGCTTTCTTCTGTGCTGGCTGCAAAGACGAAGCAACAACTACAGAAACTGAACTATACATGGGGGTCATTTTCCCCCCAACATAAATAAACTAACTAAACCAGGCAATGGTGGTGCATGCCTTTAATTCTACCACACTAGGGAGCCAGAGGCCAGCCTGGTCTACAGAGTGAGGTCCAGGATTCTAGGACAGATAGAGCTACAAAGAGGAACCCTGTCTCAAAAAAAAAAAACAACCAACCAACCAAACAAACAAAAAACCTCAAAGGAAGGACGGGGAGGGAGGGAGGGAGGGATGCAAGAAAGAGGGAAGGAGGGAGGGAAGAAGGCAGACAGGCAGGAGAGAGGGAGGGTGGAGGGAAGAGGAAGATAAGATTATCCAGTTGTTTTTAGTAGTGATGCATTAAATATGATTCTAAAGTTCCAAAATGGAAGAAGTCAGATATGCCCATAACAAGTCTGACTGAAAACATGGCACTATATAACATCTATTAAATGTGATATAAACTACCTCAATTAGCTTCAGTTCAGACAGACTTCTTTCAGAGCTCTGCATTTCAGCCATCTATGCTCATACCAGAAGGGGGCGCTGTTGAATGAGCCAACCAATTCCCAGTAACAAGTTCCAGGACAGGCAAGTCCTAAATCTTCAAGGCTTAAAGATTTTAATGCATTATTCTTTTGGAAATGCCTATAAGTGTTCCTTACTTCAACATTTTCTTAGAAACTAATATCCAAACTCTCTAAAATTCTCAAATACTGTTACGAGATTTGGGATTACAGAAATATCTAGGTAAATGTTTTATTTTTAAGGAAATACTGAGCTAGACCACTTACATATTTCCTTCTATTTCAACATTTGAAGGTTATTTTGGTTATTTTAATATAAAATCACAATTATAAAATATTCTGTAATCTGCCCTGTGAATATGTGCACTCCATTTTATCAGTAGCATGGATTCATAGGAAATGACCAGGGATTGTGTTTCCCGGAAGTGTGCTCACAGTGTGTCTTGGCATCTGAATGAGAACACACACGTGAGGAGAACGGAAACGGGAGAAACAAGGCACGGCACAAAACGCGGGCAGACTCAAGCGATGTAGGTGCAGCCCTGGGATCCTACCAAAAAGGCCAAAAACACCGGCTGCAGTTAGCTCCACTGACCTCACACCCAGACTAAACTAAGCAGCGTACAGGGGAAGACTTCACTAAACTTTGCCTACGTGGTGTGGGCAGCCTCCTCCCAGCTCCACCCGTGGCAGAGTCCTTCGTAGCCCCAGTCAGTGCTTAAGTGTGCAGTCAGAGATGACAGGGTGAGGGAAAGGAAAACATCTTAGCAGATTCCTGTAGCAAGTATTGAAATAAAGGCAGGCTCCAGTGCACACCTTTAATCCCAGCACTCAGGAGGCAGAGGCAGATGGACATCCGAAGTCGAGTCCAGCCTGGTCGACAGAGCGAGTTCCAAGACAGGCAGGGCTACACAGAGAAGCCTTGTCTTGAAAAAGACAACAACAAAAAGGATTAAAATAAGACTTCCAAGAGACTGGGTCATGCGTCTTGATGAGTGTGGGGTGAGCTCTTAAAAGGGACTGACAAGGAACGTCAAGGTTAGAATGTGAATCAAGACGGTTTATTTCCTTTTGCCACAAAGGACGTAAACAACCAAGGCTTTCCACTGTAATCAATCCTGAATGGGAAACTTGACTTTGAAAATTACAGTGGGATAAGTTGTAACATCTCAAGCTTGACGTCACATAGTATTGATAACACAGTCAATATGCAAACATTTGACATGAAGGGAGAGAAAAGGAAACAACCCTTCTCCCTCTCCTTCCTGACCGAGGACACTGTCCTATACCCTTAACCAAGAAAGAAAACAGAAAGGCAGAGGTGGTGCTCCCGAGAAGGGATTTCTGCAGCTCCTTCAGTCACTCCCCCCTCCCCTTCCCTTCCCACTGTGGTGCCTGGGACTGAGCTCAGTGCCTTGCATGTGATGGAAAAGGGTCCTGCTGCTTAGCTGCACCCTCAGCCCTAGGCTTCATCCTAAACCAAGACTTGAAACGAACAGATGTCCTCCGTCTCTCCCCAACGCACAGACTAACAATACGATGAGAGAAGAAACAGTGAAGTTTCTTTGGATACAAGTACTTTAAAGACTTTCTTCGTGTGTGTCTGTGTATCCGTGTGTGTGTGTCCCCGTGTCCCCCGTCCAAAGACATCCTCTGTGTGTGTGTGTCCGTCTACAGAGAGAGTGATTTTGAGCCCCCCGTTTTGGGTGCTGAGAACCAAATCCCAGCCCTCTGCACGAGCAGCAAGCTAACTGCTAGGCTGCTGTGCCGGTCCCCCACAGGTACTTCTCATTGCAGAATTCCCCCTAAATTTCATAAAATACAGAGAAGTTTAGTTAACTGGATGACTTACATGTGGAACGTACTAAAAGTTAAGAGCCAAATAAAATGGCCTGCGAATGCTGGGATTCTGTGAATGTTTAACATGAGGTTTCTATACATGAACAAATCCCCTTAAGACATAGTAAATGACCAGTGGGCCCAACTAAGGACAACAGGTAAAACATGTACCTAACTACATTATTTCAAATGTAGAATTTGTCAGCCAGGCGCCACAAATATTTTAAAGTAAAAACTAGTTCTACAGAGTATTTCAAACAAACAAAATCTCTTAAAAAAAAAAAAACCAAACACTGGAACTAGCAATTCCTGAAGAAATTATGACGTGATTAAGGTTTATTCTAGTTCTTTTTATTTATTATTTTTTTGAGTCAAGGGTTTCAGGGTGCCTAGTCTACCCTCATACTCTCTGTTATGGAGGCTGGCTCTGAACCCCCGATTCTCACCCTCCATCTCTCAAGTGTGGGGATCACAGGCACATGCCACCACGTCTGGCTTATTCTGTCTTTGGAGTGGTGCTGAGGATAAAACCCAGGGTTTAGTGAGCCGTGATCATGAGATCTATCACTGAGCTACACCCCAAAACTGAAAACTTCTTACAAGGAAACAGGATGAGAGCATACTGTGACTAGCACCGTCCCTCACACCTCCGGGAACTTCAAACTATCTTGGGAATGTGTGCGTGCGGGCTAAGCGGGGAGGGGAACCAGCACACTACTCACCTCCGTGTCTCTGAACCTGTCTTCATAATCCAGTCTGTCCTTCTCCACAGCTGTCAGCTTTAACTTCAAGTTAGAGACCTCGGCCATGAGCTCCAGCTTCTGTGTTTCTAACGAGGTCCGACTCAGGAGTTCCTGTTAGAATTTCAGAACAATAGTCACAAGTCATTTTATTATAAATTTCTGTCATGACTGCAAAGCAGCAATGATTAGGTGTGGTCTGTGGGTGAAGAATAACGGCCGTGTGCCACACTGCTGAGGACCACGGACTCTGGTGACCTTCTTCTAAGGACCTTCTAAACGCAGCATCAGGCTGTCGAGAAGATGTAGCTTTTCCTTACATTGATAAGCCTGATGCCAACACTGCTGTACACGGTGCTTGCTATGTGCCAGGACTAGGAGACAATCCCTGCAACAATCTCAGGAGGTAGAAAAGCTTATCAGCCTCATTAATCAGGGTTTCTAGGGACCTGGAAATGGAGGGACTGAGAGGTCGCGAGCCTGTGGAGTCAGGCAGGCAGGCAACGGCAGCAGACATGCAACAGAAGCGGTTTTGTTCCCATGTGTTCCATGTGTACTTCGTCCACTGCATCACCACGCTTCTCAGTCTAAAAGCCCTGTGTGTGCACATGAACGCACGCATGTGTGAAAAACCAAGTCGCATGTGGTTTTTATCATCTCATGGTTGGGAGTTGGAAATAATATGAACACAAAAGATCAATTTACAATTCCTGTAACATTGTATTCTATTCTAGATGTCTAACTTTGTATGTCTCTGTTTTTAGACTGTAACACTGTATCTGTTCTAATTGTCTAACTTCATAAATATGTGCTTTTAGACTCTGCTCCTCCTAGACTCTAAACATACCAGTTCGTGGGATTCTGGAATTTACTGCTGTAGAAACCAGACAGGAATGTCACACCTCCGATAAAACAGTTCGGCAGGCCCCTCCCCCACCAGCTCCAGCCCATACCTGCTGCAGCATCTCCTCAGTGGCGTTCAGCTTCTCTCTGTGCTCTTCAAGACAAAACTCCAAATCTCGAATCTTCTCTCCCTGAGCCTCCACTTGGTCGGTCAACACACTCACCTGTTAATTTAAAACAAAGGGCGGCAATGAGTTTGAAAGACTCTGGGTCCCAAAGCATGCTTCATTCCCTAACTGGAACAGTAAGACCCACTACTCACTGATGTGAGGCGTCCTTTGGGAAATGTGCTGCTTTTATTGGTTGCAGACACCATGAAGCTGCTGAAGGAGAAAGATGCTGGAACCCTACCAGTAGGCCACAGCCTTGTGGTGATACACAGATTAATAGAAGTGGGTTAATTTAAGATGTAAGAGCTTGCTAGAAATATGCCTGAACCATGGACCAAATGTTCTAATTATAGTTTCTGTGTGATAATTTGGATCTGGGCAGCCGGGAAACGAACGTGCATTCTCTGCTTACGACTCATGGTGGTTTAAGACATTCCAGATTTAACAAGATGACAGTGGTCTTTCACTTTCTATATTTATATTTTGTTTTGTGTGGATCAAACCCAGGGCCTTGTGCACGCTAGGGAGGAACTGCACCACTAAGTGATGTCTGCAGCCCAATGTTGCCTCGCGACTTAAAAGATTCCTATTCAATTTAGAAGAAACTTCGTATGGATCAGAAATATGCAATATTTTACATATTAAAATCATTTCAGTTATAAGAGTCTATAAAAAATTGTTGATTCTGAGGTGATGGTAAAGAACTAAGGTTAGAGGGCAACAGAAGGAATGAAAACCACATTTGAAATAGACATTAAGGACCACGCAGATCTCACGCTTCAATAATAAAGGGAGCAAAAACGAGTAAGGAACTCAGATTCTATAAGCTCTTTCAACATCAACGTGGTCCCAGATTTGCTCAGAGCCAGGGCGGGGTGAAGAGCGGTACTGTTGTCAGTGCGTAGGATCCTGAGTTCAGCTCCCAGAACCACAAAGGAAAAATAAGAAGCCGGAGTGCACACTACACACTCAAATGTCCCAGCAACAGTGGGGTTTATCTTCCGTCCTCAGGGTCCCATGCAGAGCTGCAGGGCTCTCCTCAGGAATGACCAGCTGAGTAAACACACTTTGATCTGGTTAGTTCAAAGCATAGAAATGAAGGCATTTGCTCTGTGCTGAGAAACACCACGAGCAAGCAAACAAACAGCCCACAGCAGTTCCCCACAGCAGGCTCCACCCGGGCTGCTCTGTTTGGTTCATGTATCATTTTCAAAGCTGGAAGGTTAATATATATTCGCGCTGAGATTTTTACTCTACAGGTATTCATAGATCTGAGTTTCTAGTTCAAATGTATGTAAAGTCAGATCCGATGGCACGTTTACTACAGGTGCAATGCATTCAACACATATGTGATTCTAAGTTGCAAGGACACTACATGTCCTGAGAAGGGAAAGGCCTTAAGGAGCACTTGCCTGAAGAACGAGGGATTCCTTGTCATTTTCTAGACGTGCCAGCCTTTCTTGATAGACGTCTCCATTCCCAGGCAGATGTCCGTTTGTCTGAGTGAGAAAATAACATAGATAAGGTCGAACGTCGACTCTTTTTTAGAATTGACACATTACGAATCACAAGACTGATATATTTTAAATTGAAAGGGCCTGAAATAAACCAGCACAGCTGTCACTTCCATGAATGGAAGATGCGAGGAGTAATAATCCAGATAAGTATGAGAGGGAAAGTGAGCACATACAAACAGGGAAGCATCTAGTCACAACTGCCTGACCTACGCCTGTAACCAGAGACTGCTCATCTGCTTACCAGTCACCCAGACCCGAATAACCACACAGAAACTATAATAATTCCAACACTGTTTGGCCAGTGGTTCAAGGATATTCTAGCTAGCTCTTACATCTTAAATTAACCCATTTCTATTAATCTATGTATCACCGCAGTAGGGGTTCTGGCATCTTACTCCTTTGGCAGCTACGTGGCAACTCTTTGACTCCGCCTACTCTCTCTCCATATCTCTGTTCAGATTTCCTGCCTGGCTTTACTCTGCTAAGCCATTGGCCAAAACGGTTTTATTCATCATCCAATAAAAGCAACACAGATACAGAAGGACATCCCACACCATACACCAATTCTGAGCAAACAGAAAACAAGTACCCTGTCTCAGTTCTAAGTGCACCGCTATGATAAAACGCTGACCACAGACAACCTGGGGAGGAAAGTACTTCTCTTACCTTATAGTACGCCATAATGGAAGTCAGGACAAGAACGGAACGTTAGAGGAATGTTGCCTACTGGTTTGCTCCTCATGGCCCACTGAGCCTGCTTTCTTATACGACACAAGACCAACTGCCCAGGAATGCCCTCACCCACAGTGGGATGAACCTTCCACATCAGTCATTAATTAGGAATACGGCCCACGGGCCTGTCTACAAGCCGATATGATAACGGGGACCTTTTCTCAGTTGAAGTTCCTCTTCCAAATGTCTTTAGATTGTGCCAAGCTCACAAAAAGCTAGCTAGCGCACACTCTAAAAGTGACTGTCAGGAATGAGTCAGGGGCCACAGGCACAGCCCTAGGGCATGCAAAATTCTGAGCGGCCTGCAGAAGACAAGACTCCTCCGTCTGTCCCCAAAGGACTCCAGTCACAAATTCTGGGTGTAAAACAGTGACTATGACCTGTGATGTCCTCCCATTCCTCCACTCCATCCCCGGGTTCCACACAGGACTGTCAATGCCTGCCGATGGAGCAGTGGGCAGGGGTGATGTCTGCCAGGATTCTCCTGCCCACTCAGCTCTCCACTCACCAGATGGAGGCTCCCACCTAGGAAGCCTTCAGAAGCACCCCTACCCTGCCCAGCTTAAACACTCTGTCCAAAATCATTTTCCCTGATGGCACTGACGAGCTAGGCTCCCAGCTTTATAACCATTTTCTATCTTGGTTAAACTAACAACTTATGCTTACACAACAAACATTATGACAAGCTACTAGGCAAACCTGGGCATCAGCTTGTACTGTGCTGGCACTGGGCTCAATGTTCCTCCCTGCTCACTTCCTCACGCTTCTCCTTCCTGCCTGCTTTTTTTTTTTTTAAATCCTATTTGGTATTGTAACACATAGCACAAGTTTCCAAGGAAATACAGACATTTTTCCCACCGTTTTTATTTTTTGAGACACAGCCTTCCTATGAAGCCCTGACTGTCCTGGAACTCATCATATAGATCAGGCTGGCCTTGAACTTGTGGAGATTCACCTGCCTGTGCATCTCGAGAGCTGGGATGAAAAGTGTGTGTCACTGTGCCTGGCATTTTCTTCCATTTTTTTCATACCAAGTCATGAAAGAGCAAGACACATAAAGCTGTCACTCTGAAACACAGTAGTGGTGTGGGAGTTTGAATGTAATTGGCCTCCGTGCTCACAGGGAGTGGCACTATCAGGAGGTGTGGCCTTGTTGGAGGAAGCGTGTCACTGTGAGGGTGGCTTTGAAGTCTCATATGTGCTCAAGTCCATCCAGTGTCTCAGACCACTTCCTGTTGCCTGTGTGCTCAAGTCCATCCAGTGTCTCAGACCACTTCCTGTTGCCTGTGTGATCAAGCCCATCCAGTGTCTCAGACCACTTCCTGTTGCCTGTGTGCTCAAGTCCATCCAGTGTCTCAGACCACTTCCTGTTGCCTATGGGATCAAGAAGTTGCTCCTTTTCCACTCTCAGCTCCTCCTCCAGCACCACGCCTGCCTACACACCTCCCGCTATGACAAGAGGCTAAACCTCTGAAACCGCTAGGTCCCCCATGGTGTCTCTCCAGAGCAACAGAACCCTAAGACAGAGTATGAGACACCCCTTTCACTCTCCCTCCTTCTCTGTCCTCCCTTCTCTAGGATGTCACTCTGTTGTCCAGAAATACCCTCCTGCTTTAGCCTCCTGGGATCACAGACATGAGACTCTATGCCCAGCTCGGCATGTGTTCCTTATAATTTTATTTAAATGGTTTATAGTCATGTTATATATTTTATCCAGAGGATTCCCTGAATGTTCCTATAAATACAACAGAGATAAAAGCCAAATGGAGTCCAATATAGACAGGTGGGGCACCCAGAATCCAACTGAAAAGGCGACCCCTTCAGAGTTAGAATCGGAAAAAACACCAACTGTGCTCCCTTCTTCCCCAGGCACATCCGATGTGACATCCATTCTTTCTCCAGAATTAACCTGCATCTATTCTACCTCTCCAGTTTCCTATTTCAGTTCTGGGACTGACAGACGTCATGTATTGAAAGTAAGCCAAAATGGAAAAAGGAAGAGGAAGAAAGAGAGGAAGAAGGGGAGGAAGAGAAAGGGAAAAGGGGAGAGGAAGGGGAAAGAAAGACGAAAAGATTAAATCTGGGGCATTCTTTTTGAAGATGTAGACATGCTGGATTATGTTTCCCAAGATGCCACAAAAAATTTAAAAGCTAATTTATCAAGTGTGCAATGCACATTTAGAGTGGGTATAATGCTAAAACCAGCTGTCTACCACACACCTGCACACTACTGCCGCACAACCCTGTTCACACTGCTAACTCAAGTGCCCAGAATGTGGGTGTAATGTTAACACCAGCTGTCCACCACACACCTGCACACTACCACCGCACAACCCTGCTCACACTGCTAACTCAAGTGCCCAGAATTAACTTACAAGAGTCTGATGGAGTAGTCAGAACGACTAACAGCCCCTGGGGACCATGAAAATGAAATGTTCCTAAGTCCTTGAGGACAGTCTTCTGGAAAGCAGCCAGAAACATGACGTATGATCTTAATCTACGAAGGTGCAGAGGTCAAGTCCTCGTTTTGATTATGCACATTAGGAAGCATCTGTTTTTAAAATCCTATGCAAGTAACGTCTATAATCACGTTTCATTAGATTAAAAAATGCTTTATGTACGATGAGGTAGGAGGTAGAATTTTCTAGTTTTGTCTCTTTTTAACAGACAGGGTACGGCTCCTTATGTTGGCCAGGCTGGCCTCAGACATCTGAGCTCAGGCAAATCTCCTGCCTTGGCACCCTGAGTAGCTCTGACAATAGTCACGTGCCACCGAGTCAAAACAAAATGCACCCATTCATTTTTCCTCCTGGGGTTTTGGCTGGTGTTTGAACCCAGGGTCTCACATGAACGCTCATCAGAGAGAGGCACTCACATGCTCCACGGCTGAACTCCATCCTGTTCCTTTATTCTGCGAGCAAGAAACTCTAGCCAGATTGGCAGCATTCTTTCAGGTCAAATGGTCAAATATTATATAGAAATGAAGTATTTCAAAACCAGTTCTCCAAAGTGAAATGCCGGAACTGACTCAAAATGAGCAAATGAATCAGAAATGTCCTGATATGGATAAGTGCTTATAATACTCAAAATCAGCTGGTATTTCTGAGACATTAATAGTCCTCACAGGAGCCAGAAGTAGAAAGTCTCAGGAATTGCTACATAGAGTGGTAATGTATTTAAGTAGATAAGGAGCTGCTCTGAGGACATGCCCTCTTCCTTCCTGCTACTTCTGTTTAAGAATACTGGAGCTGAGCCCACGAGGTACCTGTCACCTCTGTCCTTCCTTCAACAATGGTCCACCTTCCTCCAAGTGGCACGCCCTGCGCTCACACATGCATCCCTTTTACCCGGGTATCTCTCTTTCCCTCTCTTATTCTTTTCTTCAGTCTTCCCTACCTACCTGCATTTGGGTCTGGTCTGTAAAGGTTTCCTAGAATGAACGGTTCATTCATAAACTCTGCTGCAGATGCACCCTGCTCAGGGGACAACCCCACCACACACAGAGATGCCACACTGCGAGCGATTCTCTGTGTCTCACGGGAGCGCTTAGCTAAACGACGGGTGAATGATGGAACAGTGAGCAAGAAGGGCCCAGTACCCGTGGGGAGAGCACAAGGTGAGTACCTGGACTCACTCTAGTTACACTTCTTTCCCGTTCAGCACTTCTTACTTCAGGGGCTATGCTGCATGAGTTCACCCCCTCCTTCAGAAAATCCCCCAACATCCGTCTTTCCTGCTTTCCTCCCGGCCAGAGCTGAGCTTTCCCTGGCAAAGCTCACTCCCCTACATCCTCCCTGGAACCTTGGTCTCCTGCTTCCCTTAGCCCTGCAACTGTGGGTTCTGTGCCCACTCCTGCTCGCCTCCCGATCCCCTTGCCTGTGTCAACCCATCTTTCAGGACCGGCTCTACTTCTTCCTGATACCCTGTCAATCTCTTCTCCTCATCTAATGCTCCCCCCTTTCACGTCCTGTCCCCAACCTCATACATCAGCTTTTTAATCACATTCTGCCACTGATGACCAATCACCAAATTTATGTGAACTGATCGCTGTTGCTAAGTTCTGTGTCAACTTCACACATTTAGGAAGACAGTACCTTAATCAATGAACTGCCTACATAAGACTGGCCTGTGGGGCATTTTCCTTTTCGCTCTTTGGTGTAAAAGGGCCCGGTCCACTGTGGGTGTTACCAACCCTAGGCAGGGAATGGCTGGCAGCATAAAAAAGGGAGCTGAGTATCAACCAGAGAGTA